TTTGGGCAATTTTTATCCCTAGGGTCTGGCTGACTTGATGAGTTAAGTCTTAAGCTGAGAGGCACGAACACGCGCACCGCAGGCACAGTGCAGAATCCAGGGCAAGACTTGCTTGCAGTCGGAAGCAAAGGTTTGTCTCTTGTACCATGATCGGCCCAGAACCCCACAACCCTAAACCCAAGACCTGTAGAAGCCTCTCAGGTTCATTTTGGTGCTTGGCTCAGAAGGCCAAGTACGAGTCATTTGGACGGCTTACATCACCAATGACCCGAAGCCGAACATGAGCTGCATCTTGCATGAATCGGGTTGTAGTGCTTTTGTTTAAGCGTTCAGTGTCATGACATGAAAGCCAGGTGCGCGTTACCACCTGACTTGCTTAGAGTCTAGTCATGGGCTCCTGTCCTGCATGCCACCGTGCTGCGTTTTCACGAAGCCGACACGCACACTGAGGCTCATCTGGCGAGTCCGAGGGTCAAAGCGTTCCCTGAGCAAGTGTTCATGAAAAGCACGCAGAATGGCACAGTGAGAGAGAGAGAGAGAGAGAGAGAGAGAACAGCACGCTGGGGAGACATACTTCACCTTTTCCCACTCCTCCAAAAGCCCCTACAAACATCGGCGGGCCTACAAGGCCGAGGGGTTTCGAACTCCCCTCATGCCCCGGGGAAGAAGAGCAGCACGCAACAACCACATCCGCAAATACCTATGTTGCAGGTCCTGACGCATGTAAAAACAAGCACATATATGTATATGTATATATATATATATACACACACACATATATATATATATATGCATATGTACATATACACATACGTAGATACACATTTCTGTGTGTGCGCGGCTTAAATTAAACATCTACACATATCATATGTATGTATGCATGTATGTAGGTAAGTATGTAAGCAAGTAAGTAATAAATAAGTAAGTATGAAGCTATGAATGTACGTATGTCATTATGTGTGCATGCGTGTACATGGTATGTGTGTACATCTGTCTTTATGGCTACAGGCAGTTGTGAATCATGTATGCGGTCATATGTACTTACACGCCTGCGTTACGGCACACATTCATGCATGCAAGCATGCACGTAGATCTTTATGTGCGTGCAAACGACGGTATTGGGACAAGCCCTCTCTGTCCCGAAGCCGTCAAGCCCTAAACCCTGAAGCCAGGCACTCCCTACATTCTGAAGCTTGTCTCTGACGATCTGAATTCTGAGACTGTGGCTGAGGAGGGGAGACTGTGGGGATGGGGGGGGGGGGGGGGGGGGGGGGGGGGGGGGGGGGGGGGGGGGGGGGGGGGGGGGGGGGGGGGGGGGGGGGCAAAAAACCCTGTAACACACGGAAGCGCGCCGAACGTCACGGCACTTCCCTAAACCCCTAAACCCTTAACCTTTGGTACGATATTGAGGGTGGTTGCAGGCTTCGAGGTTTCAGGCTTGGTCTGACTAGCGGGTGGAATGCAGGCGGAGAAGAGAGGCATCGACATGAAGTTTGTCGGCATCAACGCCAAGGCGCCGAGTTTTTAAAGTTTTGGGTTTGATTCACTCCAAAGTTCTGGGATATGGTTCAGAAAGTCCCGTTACACCCTGAATGTGGCGTAGCTCTACTAAAGAACTTGTCACATTTAAGCATTAAGCCTCATCGAACCCACCTTGCGTTCGTGCAGTCTCCATAGGCATTACACAGACGCATGCAGGCAATACTGGGGGCAAGAGGCAAAGAAGGATTACCATCTTCTAGTAGCAGCAGACTTTGTGGATGGGGATGGGAGGGTTTCTTCGTCCAGGCCTCCCTCAGATTTCAGCTTTATCTCCGTCGCTCTTCGGTTCCAGGGTCCGGAAACGTGATTCGTTTGTAGCTTCTAATTGAGGGCTTCGATTCGATGGGTCGGCAGAATACAACTTCCGAGTCCAAGCCTTATGACTAATTAATTCTCTTCCTGCTTGTTCTTGATGTTCCAAGTCATGTCACGAGTACGGTGAGTAACATGTATATGTGAAGGGGTTCCTTATTATCATTGTAGAAGAACGGGCCCAAAGCCCTATTCTAATCATTAAGGCCCCTGCATTTTCTCCAAAACCTTGAGCCTTGTAGGTTTGTCGTGCACCTTAGCAGAAGACGGAGCGAGCCAGGATCGGGAACTCCAGGAATACATCACGAAGAAGCAGGCGCTTCTCTTGCAAAGGGTGCTGTAAGGCTAATTTAAGGGTCACAATAAAAAGGCTGTCCAGAAGGATTCCATACAAGGTCTCAGAGCCTCTAGGTTTTGGGCAGCAGGAGTTGACAGAGGAATTGCTGCTTGGATCTTGAACACCAAGACAAGGTTTCGCCATGTGGAAGTAGAGGTGAAACTGTTCCCCATCCGCCTCAATCCTGGCAAGTTCCGTTCTACTGCTGTGACTCGCAATTGGTCACTGCCTTCCCTGGGATGCTTGGTAAGGCCATCATGCTTCACTAGCCGTCACTAGCCCTTAGTGTTTCGTTGTTATTCTTGTCGCGATATGCAACGTGCTTCCTTCGAATGTCGGGCTCCGGATCCAATCCTCTGTGGCGCCCTAGTACCCAAAATCTGGCTCTTCGACCCAATAGGCTTTCCTTAGGTCCAAAACTATATTGGGTGCCTCTGCGACCTGCAACCTGGGCCCTCCATACAAGAAGCTTCCTCGTTTAAACCAGATGCTGATGATGGAATAGAGCTTGGGTTCAAAAACAGATGCTGCCAACCTTCGAACATAGGTATCTGCTGGGCTTGCTTCGTTCTTGAAGGGTTCCTTGGACTGCTTGGAGATCCCGGGCAGGTCAGACTGCCACTTTAGCACTTTTGGGGCAGTCCACTCACTTGACTTAGTCACTTCTAGGTTCGTAGTTAGCTCGGTCATGACACCCCCAGTGCTGCAAGCGTGGAGACTGGGTGTCGGCATCATTTAAAACCCTGTAACCCGAGACCAGTTTAGACCCTCGCTAGTTTGCAACATCCCGGTGCCGGAGGAGCTACCGTCATAGTCTCGGCAGTTCCATATGCATTGGCGTCTTTTGACGTGATTGCCCCCATCCTTCTGATAGGTATGTATGTCTCCGTTTACATCTGCAACATCCGAGACGGGTCGGGGCTCAAAAATGGGACGTGTAACCGTCGCAAAAGATTAAACATGACATGCCGGTTGCATGATAGGGTTTCCCTGTAGTTCTTAACTCTCCATGGCCATGAAGGCAACTTTTTCTGGGGTCGTACTGCGGCTGCCACGAAGACAGGAGAAGAGCAAAAATTGAGGCTTCGCTTTCAGCCCAAACCCTAACTCCTAAACCCTAACACTTACTCTTAAAAAAAAAAGCCTAACCAGGCGGCAGCGTTGAGCCGGGCGGCCGTGGAAGATTGTGCTTCGGCCTGACAAGGGGTTTAGGATTTCGGGTAAAGGGTCCCTAAACCCTAAACCCGAAGAAACATCAATGAAAACTTGTGGGCAAAAGACACAGTACATTGAGCACATGCTTTTGTATCTTCTTGCTGTCTTCGGCATTGTTCTTATCTATATTTATATGCTGAGTTTGTACCACATGCAGTGTAGGTAGCGCTTGCCAAGCACACTGTATAATCAAATCGCGAACGGGACACGGCACACACTATGTGCAAGGAAACCATGTGCTTATGAATGATCTGGGCCATTGAGCATGCATAATGCATGCAGGCATGCATGGATGGATGCATGGAAGGATTTATGTATGCATGTATGTATTTATGCATGTAGGCATGTACGAAGAAATGCGAATGTATTGATGGGTTCAATTTCTTTATTTACATTGTGTTGTTTGCGTAGGGTTTCCGTACGTACGCGTGGATGTATGCACACTCAGGGCATGCTCGCCATAGCGGTAGTGGTAGTGGCAACGGCAGCGGCAGTGGCAGCGTTATATGTGTATGTATTCTTGCACTTATGTGTCGAAGCATGCTAATCTGGTTGAAAATATGCCTATGTGTGTGTGTGTGTGTGTGTGTGTGTGTTTGTGTGGGTGTGTGTGTTACGTAGTACGCACGGACATGTATATGTATGTAGTGTTGGATCTATCTGTTGGTGTGTACTCGTACATTGTCGTGTACGTGAGGTTATTTTAGCAAGGTCCCCCAGGGTCAAGAACCCTTGTGGGTTTGTGTGGATGGGTTTTGCTTTGGATTGGGTCATCTAGATGCGATTCGTACACTGGGAGTACATGTCACAGTCAACCTGAGACACACTAAGCCTGGGAATCGCTGCTCGCGCCTCTTGAACCAGTAGCAGTAGCAGCAGCAGTAGCAGTAGCAGTAGCAGTAGCAGTAGCAGTAGGAGTAGTAGTAGTAGTAGTAGTAGTAGTAGTAGTAGTAGTAGTTATGGCCATTGTTACGGCTATTAAGTCAGGGTGGTTGTCATTGTTCTTGCTTGTCGCAAGCAGAGCCAGAACAGGAAGAAACAAACCACGAACAATAAGCAACGCACTAGACTTTTCCACTAGACCCACAGCACGAATGACCGAGGCTGGGATGATGTGCTTCATGGCTGCATAGCTCCACTAACAGCTCCACGGTATTCTGATAAGATACTTCTTCCATCATCAACACCACCTCGGCCATCATCACCATCATCGTCACCATCATCATGGTCACCACCATGACCATCATCGTCGCCATCACCATCATCATCATCATCGTCATCATCACCAAGTCGCAGTGTTGTTGTTCCCTGCTTCCAGGCTCGGGAACTCCTGACCGTCGCCCGTTCGCCGCAGTGACGCATTCCGACAGCTGGAGAGACGAGCACAGAAAAGGAGAGAGCTGCACACAGGGTTGGTCACTCTCAGAGGCTCCTTTCGGCTCCATACTGTAGCAGACTCTGTCTGAACCAGGCGCCCCAAAAACCAGGTTCAACGGACCCCCATGCAGAATAAGCCGAAAGATTGGAGCAGTTTCGGCCTCGAGGGCCTGCTGTGCAGATTGGGGTGTTGGGCTTTGTTGGCACTCGACGCGAGGCACACGAGCGCTCCGTCGATGCAGACCTGCTGTCGCTGGTTCTCAAGCTTCAGTGCCTCGGCTTTTCGATAATGCCTGAGGTTGCTTTGAATCGCGATTCCCCACGCAATGCAGTCGGCAGTTGCTCAAACAGTAGGTCTCTAATCGTGTGAGTCAGTAGTAACCTGTGATCAAGGCAGCCGGAGCCCTAGGGTTTCTCAAGCCTTGTGATCATTGATTTGCACAAGATGCCGGGTGCGTACATTTCACCCACTACACTAGTTTTGACGTACCGCCTGAACAGGGCTGCCTGTCAATCTGTCAGGCTCTCCGATCGTTTGCCTTGCAGCTTACCTATCGTGTGCATACGTGAGATAAATCGACAGGTCGCACCCACGGGTCTAAGGAGCATCTCAATAAAATACAGAGTCACTTTCTGCTGCCACTGGCCCCTGGCAGTTTTTGCCTCATGGTCGAGCCGGGGATCTAAAGTCACAGCGCCAGCTTCGCGTCCAAAGGTCGTGACTAAGTAGTGTTCAGAGGGTTGAAAGCCTCTTGGTTTCTAATACAAATATACTTAGTAGCTGAGTGGATACACTTTACACTTGCTGCGGGCTTATGAACTCAGCTACTAAACTTAAAAGCAGGGAGCCGGCATGTTCAATTCCAAGATGCAGTGTGGCGAGAGGCTCCCGTCGGTCGGTCGAATGAAGAGTCTTCGATCCCATTGTATGGGTTCGGAGAGATCCCCTAACCCTAGGGATCAAAATAGCCCCAAAAGCCTTACATAGTATGGTCCTTGGGCCCAAAAGCTTTAATATATGAGTCCTTAGATCCCTAGGGTAAGCCGAAGCCACAATGCCAGAGCATGTTTCAGGCTGCAGCATAAGCTGGCGGACTTCAAGATCGTGATCATGTCCGCAACGCTGCAAGGCTAACATCCCCTCCCCGCCCGGTCGGGGCCATGCCGCGCCAGCTGTGCCTTGCTGACTTCTTGCGTCGAAACACATGCAACACGGACTTAGGGTAGATTGCGCTGGGTACTGGGTTCTGTTTTCTTGTACCGGCGACACGGAGAGACATAGCAGGACATAGCATTGGAGGGTTTGAAACTTCAAAGCCTTAGAGCCTGTCGGATCAGCTGTTTCTTTTTTACCGGAGAGCCTACACCTACAGCTTTTGGACCTTAAGCAGAGCAAGGATTATGTGCAGAGGTAGACGGGGTTTGTCCCGTAATGTCCCGTACTTGCGTTGCATGCATGGCGTGCGGTGCCTTCTTAAACTCGAAGACCCTCGTCACAGCTTGTGGCTCCCAGCTCTCAGAGGGCCGCCCAGACCTTAGGTCGGTGAGCCTTGGCCGGTGCCGGTTGCGAGGGGAAGGGGTCTCGAACCGGATAGGATAAAGGGTTTAGGGGTTTAGAACCCTCAGAAGGGTCTCACAATCACAAGCCTAAACCCTAAGCCCAGGATGCAAGCGAAGTAGGAGGCGACAAACCTCTTGATTGTAGCACAAGGGCCTGAGAGAACGTTCCTATCTTCCCTCCGAACTGTACCGAGCGATCCACTTTGTGCGCCATGTCGGACCCAGCGCCGTGGCTGCCTGTTGGGCTTTCAGGGGTTGGAGTTTAGGGTTTAGGGTTTGAGTGGCTTTCAGGCTCACAGAGCTAAAAGACTTGTCAGTCCGCGACAGCGAGAGAGCGAAATCATAGTAGGGTTTTAGTGAGTCGAGGCTGGGATTGCTAAAGCTTTCAGGTTGGGTTATATAACGGCGTACCATGGACCATTGGGCAGCTGTTGGGGGAGTTGATAGAGGCCAGAAGCAACAGAGTCCATAGTCGGCCATAGAGTTTCGAGCCGTCAAGTTGGACTCTGTAGACTCAATCTCTCGTTTAGGGGGCGCTACAAACACGCTCAATCGGGTTAAGATTACATGCACTTTCAAGCGCAATGTGCCAGTCAGCAATGAATACAGAGGCCTCAGTAGTTGCCGATATCTTCGCTTTGGATTCCCTGTTATATGTGTACTATAGTTACTATAAGATACCCTAAAACCCAGTCGAATGATCCATGCCCCGATATTCATAAGGCAGCTCTCGTCCAGACCGCACACCTGCATAGTGGACTTGGGTATGTACATAGTACTACCGTGTAAAGACAAGGGTGGCATGTTTTGAGAGGAACTCAGCCCCTGAGCAGACAAATTCATGAGGCTGACAGTACTTGTATCGGGGACTTTCTAAAAAATAGTCGCAATAGTGACAGCTTGAGCGAAGGCAGAGGGCTCGCAGAAGGTCCAGGCGCGGCCGTGGAAGCAAGGTCTGTAATAGCGCTCGATATGGTTTGGTTAATACAAGTAGCGTCACTAGGCAGAACAAGCGAGCAAGCAAAGCTGCACACAGGCATGAAAACGCGAATGCTGACTCCGACTTGCAGACCCGAGCGCCTAACTTCGCCTTGTGGTACCTCTGCCCTTCTGCATGCTGCACCACATCCGTTCCATTCCAAATTTATCCCGTGGCACACCCTCTCCAGTGGTGCCAACTCACCAGGGCTGGTTGCATTCACTCGGTCGTAGGCAACCGTAGGCCCACAACCCCCCGCATAGACACCTGCATTCACCTTAGCTGCGAGTGCTGCAACTCTAAATCTTTGGGCCACCGAGATTGCGGCCTTTAAGGAGTGTCTGTACCTTTCCCCTTGCACTGCCGGGTTCGCACTCTCTGTATTCATGCTGGGGCAGTCTTCTTAATCAGAGTCCCTTTGTCCTTCTATAGGAGTGACAAGGCAACCCCAACTTCGCAAAAAAAGAACCCGAAACCCTAAACCTGATTAAATCACATGCTAGCCCGAGCCATGGTTTCTCTTAGCCCAAGTCTGAGAGGACGACAGGCGGCGAAAGCCTAAAGTAAGTGAAGCTCCAATCTCTGCACCTTGGTTCACAAATCAAGCAGTGGAACTGTGTAGTCCTGCCCAGCGGATCTCATCAAGCGGTGCAGGAGGGAAGTACTACGAGGACCCGACCAAACTCAACTCCTTGAGACCATATATAGGGGCCTAAATTACCTATACTATTTGGTTTGTGGCTTCTTTATTGATTATGGTATAATATACCCCAAAACCCTATTCTAGGTACTAAGGCCCTGATATTATCGCAGGTGAACCACGCCGCAGAGACTTCGATCATTTTGCGCTCTTTCGCCGGTATCGAATCGCGGCATCTTGGCCTGACGGCTTTTTTGTTTGAGGCTTTCGGATTACTGGGGAGGTAGATGTAAGGACCGTAAGGAGGTGTAAGTGCAGGCTGTACTGTACACGGGCTTCAGGGTGGGCGAAATCACGAAGTTCTGGGGTTACCTCAAGACTCTTCACTTTGGGTTTACGGCTTTGGCTTGGAGCTTAAGGGCCCCCTGGGCTGAAAAGTCTGGGATGCAGGCGGAGCGCTCCGGACGCTAGGAGTGCATGGTATCGATTAGGTCCTGCGCAAGAGTCTATAATAGGGCTAGTATTAGGGTCCTAATATATCTATATTATGAATATTATTCAACTCTTACTATCGACTACAATGGGTCTACGGCCTGTGGGTGATATTTCTGCTTTGGGCTCTTTCTGTGACTGTAGGGGTCAGGGAACGTAGGGATCTCAGTGTTGAGAGTCTTTCGAGATGTTGGGTTTGCCATCTGCCTCTTTAGGGCCTCTTTTCGCCCATCGCTTGAAGAAAACGAAGGTCAAGTGTACCGCTGGTGGACAGCATCCCGTATTATCCATGATAGATAACTCAACATCATACACAACCTTCCTTAGATACCCTGATTCCCGCAGTTATCTAAAATTACCACAGCCAATGCAGGGACAGTTGGGTCCATCAGCTGCAGTCAGAGATTCAAAGCCCCATTCTGGCTGACTCAGGGTTTGGGGTTTCGGCCGAAGGGATCAGCCCTGGCCCCTGAACCCCCAAGGAAACCTGACAAAGCAACGTTTAAGCAACGCTAACTGCAAGGAGGATTCAGGAGGTAAAGGCTTCTGGCCTTCAGGGCATAGGGTTCCGGGGTCCAGCCCCCAAACCCCCTAAAGCCCCAACGAACGGCGATCGTCGATCGTGCCTACTTGGGTTTGGGGGGGACGGGTTCCGGAGTTTCGGAACCCCAAGAAGTCCTCAAGCAAGTGACTCGACGCCTAGGCTGGATGAACTCGCCGAGCAGGCGCAGTCTGAGGGGAAAGGTTCACTCCCCCTTCAAGAACGTCGGCTTAGCAGGAAACAGCGTCAGCCTCTGCCTTCTACAGTAAGGACACATGAAGGTATGCCGCTGTAGACGCAGACTGCAATGCAACACGGAATCTTCGAGTGAAAGTGTCGAAAGGACTGCAAGCCGAGGGGTCACAGATTCAACAGCAAGTCCAGCAAGGCTTCCGACAGGGGCCTAGAAATTCTTTGCAGACCCTCACTTGTCGGGTCTTCGTGGCCTGAGAGCGCATGCGCCAGCACGAAGCACCTACCGATACTGGCAGTTTGCCCGAAGCCCAGCACAGTCCGTCAACCTGAGGAACCAAAGCTTCAACCAGCAAACTGTACTTGAATATTCGGTCCTAAGACTACAAGTAAACACGCCCAGAGAACACCCCTATTTCAGAAAGACAGCTAACCCCAAAACGAACCCTCAACTGAAGCTCTTGTGCATGGCTTTCTCAATGCGTTTATTAGGGTTCCTTCGTTGCCTCAGGTGGATGCTTGCCTGCAGGAGCTGTTTCTAAGCTGCACTCAGTCATTCGGCTGAGGGCCGAGGCGACTTCTGACAGCAAATCCCATCTGTAGCTGCCGAAGGCCCAGCGAACTAACAGCCCTTTGTGTCAACATGTTGGCTTTTACACTGCTGCATTATCATTGAGGTGGGTTTTCGGGTGCAAAGTAGAAGAAGGATATGGTAGGTTCAGACAGGCATTTGATGCTGGCGGTCTGTTTAGTGTGTCGAAACCTCGAGTGAGTAAGAAGTTGTAGAAGCGTCCCTGACTCCTGCAGCAAGTCAGGGCAACTGCCTCTCGGGGGTTGCGCGGCCGGGACACTGAACCTCACGAGGTCGAATCCGATGTTGGTTTTCGCGGTGCAATACGTAAAAAAGGCAAGTGGAAGAAGGGATGGCACCACGACTCCTTATGGCCTACAAGTGTGCTAGTGCTGAGATTGGTAAACCCCGCCCCCCACCTTGCCCAGGTTGGGATTGAAAAAGGCCTCCTCCTATCGCTACAAGCGGTCAAGTCACCGCCATCGGGACACCGCGCCTGGGAGCATCTTCGAGTTCTAAGAGCCCATGTAGTCTTCAGGGCTTGGTTTGTGGGGTGATGTTGGTTATTCCTGGAGGCCCTCGGCCCCTGTGTGAGTTTGAGAGTCGGATGCATGGGCCCACACTCCTCAGCGCCCGCACTTCTGCAACATGGCTTTCAAGGTCTGGGCTGATGGTTTGCGGGGACCTTTTCGGAAGCCGCAAGTCGGTGATCCAAAGGCCCCGACACGATATCACCACACCGAAATCTCGCAGAAGCGGATAATTGCAGAGAGCTGAGACCCTACTGTAGGAGTTGGAATAGTTACCAACAGATTCCTGAGTATTCCTTCGTTGTCTCGATATAGCTATGCCCCCGAAACCCTCTTCCACTTTGAAACTTATTGAGGCCATCTTGCGACACCAGAAGGTGAGACGGAAGCTCCTAGTCTTGTTGAGGTGCTCCCCGTGATCCCTTCGGATCGCCCCACCCCGGCACCTGAATCGGAGCCCGTCTGCCTCCTGCACACGCATCTGGACGGGTACATTTTTCGTGATGTATGGTTTCGGTAAGTTCGGAAAGCCAACCGAGTTCGGGGATCCTGGTGTGGTGGTTCTGCAGTACCTGGCAGATGTATTCTTGACGGTCTCCCTGGAGGGTGGTTTGGGGTATGCTCTTCTACACCTAAGCTTGGGGCAATCATGCCAGTGATTCGTCATGGGCGTTGGCAACAGCAACGAGCTCCAGAATCTTGACATCCGCACAAGGTCTTTATTGTAATCACTTTGCGGGAATATTGCGTGCCACTCTCTTTCAGCATCACCTATCTGTCTGGCATTGATCCTGAGTGGTGATCCTTACACGCAGAACTTTAACTGTAGATGAAAAGCTATACGATAGAGGCGTTAGTTTTATTAACGGATTATGAGGTTGCCGGAAGGTTTCGGATCCCTCTTCCTGGACCCCCAAAGTATGTAGAATCATGGCCTTTTAGAGGTATTGCGTCAATATTTTACCTACTTTGGGGGGTTGAGGTTGACCTCCCTCGCCCGGAACGATGGAGTTGAACATCTCCCAAGAGCTGCGGCCCGAAATGCAGAGGCCCAAACAAACGCGAGCAGTCTCCAAACTGAGGCGTAAAGCCTATCTAAACCCATCTGCATATACTTATATATATATATATATATGTTTATGGATTATATCATGTGATATTATATTATGTCATATTATCATATTATATTATATATTACTCTTTTTATAAACGTGTAATATAAATATGTACTTGTGGGCGCTTTTGGTAAGTGGTTTCGGGCCTAGTTCCTGCGGTTGGGACATCCGAAGCAAGATCCTCCAAAGCGTCCGCCGGGTTTGGGCTGAGCCCTTATGTTGTCCCACACCCTTCACCCGCAGCCTCTGTTTCAAAAGGGCACATGGGAGTTTCCGAAAATGGCGGACCCTAATATGTGACCCGAAATAGTGGGATCCTTACAAGGACCCCAAAATTACAAAATTAGGAACCCCCCTATTTTCAGAAACACCCATATACCCAGAGAGCGCAGGGTCCAGGTCAAGCCTCAACCCCAAACTACCAAACCAGCAGCACGACCTCATCCGACCTCATGAACCCGTGCCGGCCACGTGTGAATTGTGCGAGTCGAAACTAGTTGCTGTGAGAGATCGGTCTCTGCATTCAAACTCGTGCCGCAAGTCGCGGCAGCGGGAGCCTCGTCCCGAACTCGTAACTTCGAATCCTCAATTTCGATCCTCCACTGGCGGGTTGGCCGGATCTTTGTAGTCCCGATATGAAGGATGCTACCTTAGGTGGCCTCCAGCAACTTTCAACATTTTCTGGTGTTCAACAAGGCAGCAGCCGGGAAGTGTGCCCCGTTCTCCCGCGCCGAAGCCAAGAAGTCGTGACCGGGCAAAGTGAGGACACTTTTACAAACAGATTATGATTAATAGAAAATATAATATGACATAATATAATATGATATAAGCTATATACATATATGGGTTTGGCGTTTTAGGCGGGTATGAAACACAGAACATGATAACGTATGTATGCACAGGTACGTATATAAGAAGGGATGTGAATACAAAGTGTTGGGGCTTATGGCCAGGGCCCAGAGTTGTCTAAATGATGGCAAGCATTCTTCTTAAGGGTGGTTACGGCATAGGCTAGGGCCTAGGGTATGTGAAGTTGCTCCGTGTTCAGAGTTCTCCCGACATCCTTATCTAAAGCCTGAAGAGGGCCTTTGATAAAATAGGAGAAAATGCAGAGAAGATGCCTCCGCAAGGATGACCCGCACTAGTCGTGACATGCACGGAGCATGAGACGAGCATGAGGGTCAACAAAACTTGATTCCAAAGTCGAAAACCACACGCAACAACGCAAGAGCGGCTTCAGGCATGCCCTGGTTTGATTTTTTGGAGTTTCGGATCCCAGCCGTAGCAGATGAGTACGTACTCTGGCCTGATGAGGACTTGCCATGCATGTGCTGAAGGTCAGATGATATCTTCTATGGCATGGCAATCATTTCCTTGCATGATTTTCTATCCATCTATGCGATTATCAACTGTACTCGATCTGTATTGTCATACATGCACAAATTGTGTCATCACACTTCGTGTCGGACTTGCGGGCCTACAGCCAGGTAGACAACCATAAACATGAATTACAAATCTGGATGGATAGGGGTTTGGGGTGTAGTACAGAAGCCTGCAAAGCTACCAGTTTCATTGCTTAGGCTTCCATATTACAGCTGTGCTACAATATGCCCCCTTGCCTGCATCGGGCGCAGTGCAGTGCTGCGCATTTTCCCGCTTCCCCCCTCCCAAAGACGAGCTTATTCTAATTAGTAAGGCCTGCTTTTGGGAAGCCCGATCTCTTGTGGAGAATCCGAGTGCCCATCATCGAATATGTTCATAAGGCTCATCCTTCTTCTCCTTCGGATCCGACAGCACAGTGTCCGATGTACAGTCGAGGACCTACAAACTCGCGGCATGAGGGTTCAGGGACGTTCTTAGGGTGTTGGCGTTTTGCTTTGGATGCTTTTCTATTTTGGGCTTGCCTTGGACGTAGCTTTGACAGGTAACGGGCCTGGAGAGAAAGGGACATAAACCTCCCAGACCCTCCATCTACCCTCTAGTAGACTCTAAGTACCCACTGTTTGGGACCATATACCCCGATTTGAGGGTACAAGGAGGGTCCTGGTTAGAGCATCTTCTGCTACAAGTCAGAGAAGGAGCCATGAAGGACGACATGTGAGGACCAGCGGAGGCAGAGGGCTTGAAGAATTTCAAGACATGGCTTCAACTGAGGGTGGTCTCATAATCATAAGCCTCACGCAACAGTACCTGAAGGTTCCATGGGGGTTCTGGGATACTTGGAGCATTCAGGTGACTCAGGTGACTGGCTTTGTGTTCGCCGCTTGTCCAAAGAAGCCTGCCCCAAACACGAACAAGCCCGCCAGGATGTCTACGATCAGCAATGCCGGGTCCCTGCGCAATGAGATGGTGTCCTTCAAGGAAGACAAGGCTCAGGCGCGATCCTTGGCTGTTCAGGGATCAGCTATAATGTAGGAACCTGAGTAAGAAACCATGGGCCTATAGCCCCCAAAATAGTGGGATTCATATACGGGACCCTAATAAAGGCCCAGGGTTTCTTAATCAGGTTCCTACATAACCTAGAAAGGAACGCTTTGAGGCACTTGGGCAATAAAGCTTAATTACGCTTAGCGAGGCCAGGACCAAAACACTTCCAGCCCTAAACCCTGGTAAACTTGTAGTAGAAGGCGCATCCCCAAACTCTATTGTTCTGATTATGAAGGCCCCTATAACGGTTTAGGGTTTAGGGTTCCTATATTGGGAGCTCTTGATTCATCTTGTTCAACACGTTCCCAAGCATTCAGCTGGCCACGCAAAAGGTGGTGGAGTACACGCCTCCAGAATGGAAGGACAAGAAGAGACGAATCATTCAGCCGGTCCGCAAGGCGCCTTGCACACATGAAATTGAAGCTTCGGTTGGATGTAAGGCAGATCCACGCTGAATGGAGTTAAGGGGTTCAATTTTAAGGATCAGCGGGCCTGGCAATCAGGGTATGCATCACTCTAAGCCTGGCTACGATTTTGGCTCTCGTGATTCTTTTGATTGTTGATGTTTCTCTGATCATTGATCAGTGTATTATGTTGTAAATTTCTATTGCTGTTATTGCTACTATTGCATCATCGTTATTCGGGTTCGTCCTCTTCTTACTGCTATGGTTAGTAACGGTTCGTATTATCACTGTTATCACATCATTAGTATTGTTAGTGTTTTCGCATTGTTCGTATGAAAATAAGTCTGTTTGGCTTGCCTTCGTAGGACAGCTGCATGTATGTCGATGCACATTTCACAGACAGATGCGCACATATACATACACATTTCATACACATGCGCAGAATCGCCTTTTGAGCGAATCCGACCAACAATGCATCTTTCTCTCTACTTAACGACGGGGTTTGCAGCCAATGCCTCAAGAGCTTGATGGCAGGTGGATCTAAAGATCGCCTGGCAGATCCATGCAAAGGAACTGAAGAAGTGACCTGACTTGTTCGAAAGGTGGGAGCTTCAGAAGACTCTAGGTACTACATTTTTGGGGGCGCCTGAAAATGAGGATCCGATTCTGCACGGTTTTGGATCAGCGCCCCTCATTTCCCAAAAACTCTAGCGCCTGCGTAGGGTTTGGCAAGTTGGAGCTTGAGCTGCGGCGCGAGAGACCCAGAGACTCCAATATCCCTTAATTTGGGAATATAACTTAAATCATATTAGGGATCCTACTATAATTTAAGGTATATTCCTTAATTAAGGGATATTGGAGTGAGTCTTTGGGGATGTCCAGACCTTTGTCTCTTTGGGGCCCCGAGTTTAGGCCTTTCCCACCCAAGCGCTGCTCTGACAAAGAGGGCCTCTGGACTGCAAGGGCAAAACAACGCAAAGAACAAAGCAGTGAACGACTGTGACTGTCTTGAAGAAAGCATCGGAGCGTAGTTGCAAATCAGCTGTATGTTCAAACGTACGGGAATGGTTCGGATGTACCAGGCAGGAGCATTTTGTGAGCTTTGCTTGAAGAAGCCCAGTCTCCGTCCTTGAGCGGATTTTTGTCGGTCCCCAATCCCGGAACGAGTTGGAGCCATTCCTACGACCCCTGCTGAAGCAGCGACAGCAGCCCCGACGACCAGTCTGCTGCTGCGGCTTCTAGAACACAGATGTCAACATCAACAAGGCTGTCATCGTCAACAGCAGCCCAATGTGCTGCTGCTGCTGTAGGAGTAGGAGTAGGAGTAGGAGTAGGAGGAGGAGGAGGAGTAGGAGTAGGAGTAGGAGTAGGAGTAGGAGTAGGAGTAGGAGTAGTTGGAGTAGTTGGAGTAGTAGGAGTAGTGGTAGTAGTAGTAGTAGTAGTAGTAGTAGTAGTAGTAGTAGTAGTAGTAGTAGTATTGTTGATGATATAAATCCTGCATTACCTTAAGGACCCTCAACTATGGAAATTATGGTGTATTCCTTTTTATGGGTCATTCAGGATTTATATCATTAGTAGTAGTAGTAGTCGTCGTCGTCGTCGTAGTCGTAGAAGTAGCCGTAGCAGCAGAAGGAGCAGCAGCAGCAGTAGCAGTGGCAGTAAGTGGTAGCAGTAAGCAGTGGACGTAGCAATAGCAGTAGTAGTAGTAGTAGTAGTAGTAGTAGTAGTAGTAGTAGTAGTAAGAGGAAAAGGAGGAGGAGTAGGAGTTGGAGCTAGCAGCAGCAATAGTAGCAGCAGCAGCAGTGTAGCAACAGTTGTAGTCGCACTAGCAGCACTAGCAGCACTAGTAGGACTAGAGGTGGTAGTAGTAGTAGTAGTAATAATAATAATAATAATAGTAGCAGTATTCGTAGTAGTAGCACTAGTAGTAGTAGTAGTAGTAGTAGTAGTAGTAGTAGTAGTAGTAGTAGTAGTAGTAGTAGTAGTAGGAGCAGCAGTAGTAGTAGTAGTAGTAGTAGTAGTAGTAGTAGTAGGATGAGTATGTAGTAGGTAGTAGGTAGTAGGTAGTAGGTAGCAGGTAGTAGGTAGTAGGTAGCAGGTAGCAGGTAGCAGTAGTAGTAGTAGTAGTAGTAGTAGTAGTAGTAGTAGGAGTAGTAGTAGTAGTAGTAGTAGTAGTAGTAGTAGTAGTAGGAGCAGCAGCAGCAGCAGCAGCAGCAGCAGCAGCAGCAGTAGTAGTAGTAGTCGTAGTAGTAGTAGTTTGTTGTTGTTTGTTGTTGTTGTTGTGTTGTTGTTGTTGTTGTTGTTGTTGTTGTTGTTGTTGTTGTTGTTGTTGTTGTTGTTGTTGTTGTTGTTGTTGTTGTTGTTGTTGTTGTTGTTGTTGTTGTTGTTGTTGTTGTTGTTGTTGTTGTTGTTGTTGTTGTTGTTGTTGTTGTTGTTGTTGTTGTTGTTGTTGTTGTTGTTGTTGTTGTTGTTGTTGTTGTTGTTGTTGTTGTTGTTGTTGTTGTTGTTGTTGTTGTTGTTGTTGTTGTTGTTGTTGTTGTTGTTGTTGTTGTTGTTGTTGTTGTTGTTGTTGTTGTTGTTGTTGTTGTTGTTGTTGTTGTTGTTGTTGTTGTTGTTGTTGTTGTTGTTGTTGTTGTTGTTGTTGTTGTTGTTGTTGTTGTTGTTGTTGTTGTTGTAATAGCAATCATGGTGCTGGTGGTGGCGGTGCTGGCGGCTGCTGCTCCAATCTCCGAGCCTCCATTATGCTGCAGACTCTCAGGCAAGCCGCAGCAGATGAAGCATCTCAGCTGCATGACAACAGATGCCAACGCCTGCAAGGGTTCGGAATGCAAAGCTTACGCTCGGAGTTCAGGTACCAGAGTCCACTGTCAGGACTGTCGGTCGATTGGAGGACCAAAGTTCGCCGTGCTCGTTCAGCTTTGCGCGAGTAGGGCTCTGATATGGGAACTTATACAGGCCCATCTTCATGTATGAATTCACTATACCGTACAAGTAGCAGCAGTAGCTGAGTAATTGGTAGAATGCACAAGAAAAGTAGACCTCGAACTATACATGGAACATCACTTCGTCGAACAGGACCAATGCGCATGGTCACGAACAAACTCATGTATGTCAGGGTCTGTTATCCGTTGCTGTACCCCAAACCCAAACTGCAAAGCTGGCTTCTCAAATGCCAAGCTCAGGAAACACGGCCCATCATGCGCCTGATCTATCGCAGTCGTTGCGATCACCTTTGGGAGATGATCCTCTGGCTGAAAAGTGTTTAAGACATCATGGCACCATGGTGGGAACTTGTGTCAAAACCCCTGATAGTCAAAACAACAGCGATTTGCTGCATCCTACTGGAACCCAGTGGTATAGCCGTCTTACTTTGAGAAGGATATCGCGCGAATTCGGACAGCAAAGCCTTGGAAATGTTTGGTGCCATCCCTTCCTCAGCCCATTGCCGAAGTCCTCAGACCCCCGGGAGGATCCAGAAACTAGATCCCCGAATTTGGGGCCTATACTACTAAGGGTACTTTATAGGAACCCTCATTAAGGGATCTATTTTTTGGATCCTCCTGGGGGTCTGGGAACGAAACCCTAAACCAAGTCATGGAGTGCAACAGCTGTACCCATGGCCCGGCTCGAGGTTGGACGACCCGGATTCTAGCATGGCCGCCTGGGCGGTGTCGCAGTTCTTGCACCTTGGTAGGTACTATAGGGGCCTTAATAATTAGAATAGGGTTTGGGGTACACTATACCATATAATGACAATAAGGAACCACCAAAAAGCCTATTCTAACTATTAAGGCCCCTACATTAAGCCCCAAATCCCAAAAGGAATCTGAGGTCATTGACCGTGAGGTCTCTTTGAGCAGCTTGTTAACTATTGCTTCTACTCCGTGTTCTGCAGCTGCGGCTGCGACTACGATACGACCACTGCGTTTACCACTACGACAACCGACGACGAACACGGCACACTTCGCCGACTGGTGCTATTACGACGACGGCGGCGACGGCGACGGCGACTCTCGCTCCACCCCCTACTGCTGCTCCTAGCACTACCACCCGTCGCGGTTGCTAAGTTTATTGTTCTCTTCCATGGTTTCCGTGCGCCGATGGTGTAGAGGAACCCGGTGTTCATATGTGTTCATTGTGCGAATGCGACAGTAGACACCCAGGAAGGTCTTGGTGCTGGTCAGCGTCGTCGTCTCTATGCTGGCAACGACACAAGAGCCGCTTGTGGACGTCTCCAGCTCGGCGGTGCTGGAGACGTTGGGTGTTTACTAAACTGTAAAGTCCAGAACCCCATACTAGAAGCCCAACATGCCTCGCTGGTCCCAAAGCCTCACACGCAGCCGTCCGGACGAGGAGACCTGCTTCGACGTGATCTTCGTGATGGAGCCCCTGAACCCAAAGAGTTGTTTTAGGGTCAAGGGCCCCAGTATCTCAGTGGTTTCAATGAACTTACTGCTTAGTTATGGGCCCTGGCAACTTTTGCCTAGCTGCCACAGGATCTAAGCCTCAAGGGTTGATTCTTGGGGCGTAGCGGTGTCGGAGCACCAAAATACCGGTCTCTTTCTTGGAGTCTTCCCACCTCTCCATCAAAGACTTGGTACGAAGAGTTTTGTACCCTAAACCACTTCTTATTATGAGGGTAGCTATGCTTATAACTTATAATTACTTATAACTCCAATTAACCATACGGGAGTTTCCGAAAATTAGGGGTACCTCATTTTTGGGGTCCTTATAATCAGGATCCTACTATTTAGGGTGCTATATTAGAGTCCCTATTTTTCGGAAACTCATAAAATACTTACTAAGTCCCATGATCCTGCAAGTAGCTTTCCATCCTCCTGACTTGAAGGCTCGCAAACTCGAAGCCCACGGAGCCTGAAAGAGTTTCTGGGACTCTCTGGGGGCCGCAGGGCTTAACTACCAGTGTGGCCCTATATAACAATTACCTATACTACGGCTGATGGACAAAATCCTGCATGACCTTAAGGACCCTAAACTATGGGAATTATGGTATATTCCCTATATTGGGTCATGCAGGATTTTGTCCATCAGCAGTATTTTGGTTGTTTTTTGTTATAAGCATAGTATAATGGGCCCCAAGACCCTATTCTAATCATTAAGACCCCACTATTAGAGGTTTTAGGGTTCGGGCTCAGGGTTCAGGATCTGCAAAGCTCCAGAAGCTCTCGAGCACCGGTTTCGGGTTCCAGGGCCAGTCAGAATTCAGGGTTGCGGGGTCCAGGGTTGATAGGAGTTTAAAGTTGTCGGATGCTGTGGGGCGTTAGGGCCGTTAGGGTTTCAGGTCAGGAGTTTACAGAAAGATCAAGTGCCTGAAGACATCGTGCGCCCGAGGTTCCTGTGCCGATGCATCTCCTCCCCGTCCAAGCACCTGGGAAGTCGAATTCAAGCATTCAGGGCCAGCATTCCTTCAGCCGCCACAAATGTACGGACAGTTGGAACTTGCCACTTTGCAGTTTGGGGGAAGCTCTGGGCCTAAACCCCAAAATCGCCGCTGGGATTCTTAAATGGAACTCTTCTCCCGACTGCTATCTTTGGAATCTCAAGTGTCCACAGATTGTGTGCAGGGGAGGAGTTTTAGATTTCCCGTCTTCCTTATTGATATCATTTTTGAATCGTGGGTCACTCGCTTGCAGCGAGTCTGGCTCCGCCTTCCATGCATCTGCATACTACTCGTAGCAGACAGCTATTTGCATACTGCTTGTAGGAGACAGTCTATTCAAAAGCTTCCTGATCGAATCGTTGTTCAGGATAGGAAAATCCTTCAAGTCAACGCTAGACTGCCAGGAGAATCTACGTCCAAGATCCCTTCAGTTGGTGCGACATGCTCCTTGGATTACCTGGATATGAGCTTCAGCATCTTTATCTGGAGAGACCGAAGTCCCCAGTGCCTCCAATGACCCTTTCCGTGCTCGCAGGTGTCGCATAGGTTCACAGCGGCGAGTGAGTCAGGATACATGTGGGAACACCAACAGCACACTACAGTAGTCGATATCGTACGGCAAGGCCAGTGAGGGTTTTGATCATCACAGGCGTGAGTAGGCAGGTGTTGTCCCTTCTTCCCCATTCTTTGAAAGCTGACTCTGACGGCGTTGATGGACAACGTGCTGTTTGTTGGCATGTAGTCTTGGGTGGCATCCGCTGAGCACTTGAGCTCCGACCCCGATGTCCCAGGCTCGCTGCGTTGGGGTTGCCCCTCCGTGCTAGCGTGGGCTTCGTGCTGCAGCCGTTATCTTCGTTGGAGGCCACCCTCGCGGTTAAGGGCTTAGAACGCAATTTGCTCGGTTTTACGGCAGCTGGGCGGATTCCAAGGACCTTTTTCGCTCTAGGTCCTGCTGCACTGGAGTGAATCCGTCAAAGCAGCGCGCGCCCGAACTCGCCATCCGCTGTTCCAGGCGCCGACCGTGCAGCAGGTGCTCTTGCACCCTGGTTCCAATTGAGGTGCTTCACATGCAAAGTCGACCGAATCATGCACAAGCATCGATGATACTGTCGCTTGCATTACTTGTCGGGTGGCACTGGCGCTTCTCATCCCCCTGGACCTTCGATGCGACTTGTTTTCCTTAGGTCCGTACCCCACCCTGCCAGTCGAGTTCATCATGTTTCTTATGGACTGAAGATGAATGTTCGACCTGAAGCCCCGCTTAGAATCCAAGACTGTGAAGATCTAAACCCTTTTACGGCAAAGCCTTCGAGTCCCCAACCCCTCCAAGCTTTAAGTCCTGGGAGTTTCCGAAAATAGGGGGACCCGAATATATAGTACCCTGAATAGTAGGATCCTTATTGTAAGGTACCCCCCAAAATAAGGTACCCCGACTTTTCGGAAACTCCCTCCTGCTGGTTCTGAAGCAGAACGCACATGCCCTCGATGTCTGAACCCGCAGTCGTTGGAGCTACTACTCCCTAGTAGTCGAGTAGGTAACCTTTAACCTTTGGGTGGTATAGCCCCTATATAATTTCTATGCAACCAAAAAAGTTAACGTTTAGTTCCCCATGATACCCGACAAGTAAGACTCTCCAATGCCAAGGCGAAGGCTACGGTATGTAGAGATCAGAACATCAGCAATAGTAGGATCCCCTTATCTTCCCCCTACATGTTATTTGCATATGTATAGCTATACGTTAGCTATACCTACACATATACATAGCTTTGTCACAGCATGCCCAAAACCCCTCATATTACGGCGGGGCCCCCTGGCATCACCGGTTTCCCAGGCTTCTCTTCCTACCCATCTTCCGATTCTTGAAGCTGCTGAGGTCAGGCCCTGAGTAGAGAGATGTTGCTCTTGGGCTTTAGGGCTTTTGGGGTGCAAGGTTTAAGGTTCTTGAGGCCTTTGGGGTTTTGGGCCTTTGGGGTTTTTGGTGGGCCTTTGGGGTTCGAGTGTTTTGGGTTCTGCCTTGCGTTTTTTGAAGCCCGGTGCCTCGATCGTGGGCATCGCAAGTTGAGCGCTCGGCGTTACAAATTTGGGTGCTCAAGAATTACCAATAATGCTCTTCAGGTTCCTTACTAGAGTTATGAGTTATCGTACAGGATACCCCAGAACCCTAGTCTATTTATCAAGGCCCTTGCATGATGCTGCCCATGTCGATCTTTCTGTCACATGGTCTGATCACAAGAAGGGCTCAGAGGCAGGGATGATGTTTTCGTGGGGGGTGGTTGTAAGTAACTATAAGTATACTTAACGCACTTACAACCCTGCCTAAACGCCTAAACCCTTAAACCCTAAACCCTAGTTGTTAAGTCCGATGGTATGGGGTTTAGCAATGAGATATGGACAGCACGGGGGCTGAAGGTTGTGGTCGCGTCTGGCCAGGTGCATGCTTTTCAACTGTTCGACTCGCTATTGAACTGCTGACTGCTCCTGTCGACATTCGGAAAAGCAGGGGAAGAAGCCCACCCAAAGGTTCGGGTACGCCTAGTTTTCTAATAATGCCACCGACAAGGGTGAGAAATGCAGCCCGTTGCAGACTGCATGCATGCAAGTTTCTCCCTGCATGCATGCAAGTTTCTCCTCGAGCCCGAGCATTTGCAGATTTGCTGCGTTCCAAAAGCCACAGCGATCAATCAAGCTGATTGATTGATTGATTGATTGATTGATTGATTGAATGCATTCCCGATTCCTGCCGAAGAGAAGCAGGTATTTTGAGTCCTTCCACCTGCTGGTGGATGCAGGGTTTCTTGGCCCGTCAGTTGGGTGCAGCTTTCCGGCAGCGGCAGAGCAGGGTACAGAAGCCGACAGTCCCAAATTGTGGTTCCTTGTTGGTGCCCTGAATCAGCGAGGGTCCCTGAAACTGGGCACGTGTGGTTCAGGGACGTGCTGCTAGAAGTGTGTTTGGATCAAGGGTTTACTGCAGTTGCAGACCCGGCAGTGAACTCTAGCACCCTTTTGGGATGGTCGAATCAGACTGTCTCCCAGTCTGATCGAGCTACGTGATATTCTTGCCTCCAGCCAGAACCGCCCCAAATACGTCCTAAACCTCCGAGGAAGAACTCCATCGCTGCACTGCCGGTGCTCTTCTACACCATGGCGGTGATCACTCTGCTAAGCTCCTCTGCCATCTACCTCGTAGAGTCCAGGCTTCTTGCTGCGGTCAGAAGACGCAACCCGATCTTGCCTTTTAAGAACGAGATGCCTGCAAGTCTGGGCAGACAGGACAGAAGTGACAGAAGGGGGGACATGAGGAAACCAAGAACATTTCCATGCAGGTGGCATGCAGGTGCACAACGGTGCATGCACAAACTTAAGCGACTTCAACTGGGCCTTTGTGCAGAAATATGCGCGAGCTTGAAATCCCAGTGAGTATGAATGTGTCAGACACAATGCACATGGGGGCTTGAGTGCATGTGGACGTGGCCGCCTAGATCTTGTTTGCAAATGGTCAACATCATGCCATCTACGCACAAAACACAAATTTGCGCGCATGGGGCTCTCCAGTCAGGCCCATGTCTAGTGTCGAGCATACATGGGTCTTCACCTTATATCGTCTTCAGGCCGAAGAAGAGGTACTTGGAGGTTCATGGCTAGTTATAAGTAGGGTTATAAGTAGGGTATTTGTACTTATAACCCATGGGGACCTATAACCCTACTTATAATCCTCCCCTGAAACTCCAAGTTTCGAGCAAACGGGCTGCATGGTGAGTTTTAGCAGAGCGCTGGCGTAAGACTTGAAGTCACGTTGTCGGCAGAAAGAGGGTTCCACACCCTGCCATCATCGGCAGAATCCTGCCATGGCACCTATATCGGCAAAGCGATGCAATGCAGGGTTCCTTAACATAGTACAATACATCGTTATACTAGAATGCTAGATGAAAGCCCACCGCCCGGACAGGGACAACATCCCCAGCCTCCCGCACTCCATTTGGCTGGCCTTGGTGACCATGACGACGGTCGGCTATGGGGACTATGCGCCAAAATCGACAGGCGGTTGTGCAGACATGACAACTAAGCTTTCGCGGGTTTGCCGCGGTTTGGGATCGTGCATTTTCTAGTGCTTTTGCAACCGTGTATTATATATATATATATATATATATATATTATATTATATTATATTATATTATATTATATTATATTATATTATATTATATTATATTATATATATATATATATATATTTATATTTATATTTATATTTATTTATTTGTTTAATTTGCATGCGCGCACATGCACTGACTGCCAGAGAGGTGGCTATTTTGTGGTTGCGACGCTCACCGGTGTCAGCGTCCTCTTTCTGGCTCTACCCGTTGGCAGTCGGGCTGCATATGTGGGGTCTGTGCGCTGCGGGGTCGGACGAGCCGGCACAAATTAAAGGACAGCTCAAATTTTGACACACTGAAGGGTTGACCAGCCATGCCGTTTTCCTGAGGCTTGAAGATTCCCGACCCCGCTCGAGTTGGGCACAGAAACCACTGGAATTTCGGGTTTTAGGGCTGTGGGTGTGATGCTATGTTGGAGGGTTTCAGAACGTTGTTACGGAGTCCTTTCAGGGTCGCTGGCATCAGGTTCAATGTTTGCTTCCTCTTGAGGTTGCGGAGGGTCTAGTTCGATTTGGGTTTCGGGTTCGCGCCGTAGGGATCTTAGGCGACTATGTTTCCGAGATCTCAGATCTATATCTATATCTATATATATATATATAGATAGCATGGCGTCAGCCCTTCAGAGTTGTTCTCTCTGAGCAACCCTGAGGCCCTGGAAGACCTATGTGAGGTTTGCCGAATAAAGCACTATAAAGCATACCTCCCGAAACCCTTCTTCTAACTAGTCAACCCCTATTCTTTCAAGCCAAGAGACCAGTAAGTCTGCACTAGTTACAGCTGCAGCCGGCGATTCCCTCTCACCAATCATGCCCCTTTTTTACATGTGTGCCTGGCTTTTTCTTTGGGTCATAGGAGCCTGGCCCGAGGTGTCCCAGTTGGAGAGTCCGAGCCGTAGGTCCCAAACGCTAATCGCGCAATTCCTAGAGTGTAGCCCTAACGACCACGTTCCACAAACAGGGTCTATTCAGGGGTTTCCGAATAATACAAACCCATTGCCAAGATCCGTTTTTTACAGACCCTTTAAAGAGACTCGTAAAGAATTTGAATGGGAGAGAGGGCTCCCCGTTGGCCGTGACAAAGAAGACCTTGCAAAGCCTCTACAAAGCCAACAAACTCATGAAGCCCAAAAACAGTTTTCCCCTAACCTGCGCAGTGTCAGGTATCATCGGACACGTCTTTACTGCCTGCTGGGAGAGCCGAGCACAAGTTCTCTTGATGAACAGAGTGCGGAAGTGCCTCGTGAAGTGGCTCAGCGACTATTTAGGGGTTAAGGTGTTTGGGTTTAGGGGGTTTTCGGACTATGCTTTAATGAATTTGGTTTTCCCGCCACGGCTGTCGATTTCAGCAGCAAAGTCCACTATATAGGTTCACAGGTGATCTTCGCATGGTCATCATGCATCAGGCTTATGTCGTTCCTCCCCGCAACAATCAGAAAGCCCTAGCATTGACCCTCAGGTGGGGCTACACCATCAAAGACCTGAAGATTCTTGTGGAGCCTCCTTGCCGCGCTTATTTTCGGTTTGTATTGAGTGAGGCCGAGGCTCGATGTGTTCCAATGCCAGTGGAGTTCAGTGGTTTCTCTGTTTGAGTACACTTCGCACTGTGTCTTTTCGCTGCCGGTAGTGGTCTTGCTTTTTGGGTTTGTCCCAGTTCGAGAAACCTCGGTAGTCTTCTTAGTACGTAGTAGTAGTAGTAGTAGTAGTAGTAGTAGTAGTAGTAGTAGTAGTAGTAGTAGTGGTAGTAGAAATAGTATAGTAGTGGATCAGCAGTGTCAGTGACTTTCCTACACGACAAACCACAGTGGAAGCGCACGCTGTTTCAGGTATGTGGATGCAGATGGAGCCGCTCCCCTGAATTACTGCAGCCCTCTTGCCAGGTTGACACTACTTGTGCAGACACAACAGTCCGGTTTAGGGTTTAGGGGCTTCCAGGCTTGACAGGCTCCTGGGTGATTCAGTAACTTCAGAAGGTTAGGGTTACTGCCACGAGTGCATCGGCTCTGACATCCGACATCCATGCGGGCATATACAAGTCTGTGCAAAAAGGGTTCAGAGGTTTAGGGTGCAGCCTGCGACTTGCAGAAGACGGCACAACGGTATCAGTAAACACGGCAGGAGCTCACTCGTGATAGAGCAGCCACCGCGTCGAGGAGCTTGCGCTTTGAAACGCGTGCAGAAACAGAAATGGTCATCTTAGTCGTAGGCCGGAGGCAGTTGTCCCATGTTTCCAATGGGGCGGAGGTAAGATAGGTAATGCTGCCACCTGCGATTGAAGCGCCTCGAGTTTTGCGCCCACAACACAGGAGCTGGTCTGCTGTATCCAGGCTTTGCCAATCTGTTTCGGCTATTGTCAAGGGTGGAGTTCCACTTCGGCTTTTCGCATCTAATCTAAGCCACGCAGCACATGAGCAGGCGCGGCTTTCAGAGGCTTTGTGCCTCCTCGATTCGAAGTCCCTCACTGTTCGCTCAAACTCCAACCGGGTAGTGGTAAACTTTGCGTACTGCCCCCACTCAGTAACAGTTGGATAACATTCATAATATAGTTGTAGATACATTAGGACCTTAATAGTAGCCCTATTGTAGACTGTTATTGCATGGGGAGCAGTACCCAAGGTAAACTCGAAACCCACAGCCACTTTCAGCTCCTCACTCGGATAAAGCCAGCTAGACCTAGGACGGAACATTGAATTTGCCAGAGTTCATCGAGCTGATCCGACAGATGAGAATAGGACTTACCTCGGAGACCCGGCGATTTTTGGGGGGAGGTCTGGAAGTGCAGGATTGCACAACGGTCCGGATTTGTTGGGCTTAGGGTTCAGGGCGAAAGGCTTGAGAATTGATCCTGGGCACTAAGCCTTAAAACTGCGACAGTACCCAAAGAAGCTACCCACCTCATTCACAATGGGAGTTTCCGAAATTCGGGGTACCTTATTTGGGGGTCCTTATCATAAGGATCTTACTATTTAGCGTACTACATTCGGGTCCCCTATTTTTGGAAACTCGCAAATCTTGGACCCCTTCCAAGTTCTGGGTTCCATCGAGTTTGTGAGGGTTTCGCGGGATCCTCAAACCAGCACCTTCCAAGTTTATACAGGTTTAGGGTTTAGGGTTTATAGGTTAGGGTTTAGGGTTGTTAGGTTAGGGTTTAGGGTTTAGAGCTTATACAGTTAGTTCAAGTAATGCATGTAGACATTGCGGACACAATCACAAGTAGATGCGAGAATATGCGAGAGAGAGGGAGAGAGAGATAGGTAGACAGAGAGATGGATAGATCGGTCGACGTATGTGCATACATGCGTACTCGTTGCACACATAGTCGCCGTACACATAACGGATTGGCCTTCGGGCTGGGGTTTGGGCAATGTGCGCCTATGCCTCGCCTGGATGGTCCGAGTGCGAGCGCCGAAACCCTAAACCCTGAAAGCCCTAAGCACCCACAAGCTAAAGCCCCGAACCGAACCCCGAAGCGAGAAACCTCAAAGCCACGGGCTGGGCCCTCAAGCATCAAATGAACTAACAGAGGGGCCTATATAATTACGTACCTATACGATTTTTGGGGCTCCTTATTTGTATTTGTAGTATAATCTACCCCCGAACCCTGTTCTAATTATACAGGCCCCTTTCTTTATGGTCCTAAAAGCGCCAGCCTGCGGGGCCTCTAAGAGAGGGGGTTTCCAGTTTCGGCGTGGGCTCCTAGAATTGCTTGCGAATTGTTTTTGTAAAAACAACTGATAAGTTTGTGAATTTCCGTCCTGAAAGGGTATGCAGTACGGCCCACGCACCCTTGTACCCGATTTGGAGTTTGGGGGTAGGTTTTGAGGCATCCTGGTGTATGTCTTCAGGGATGAAGGGTTTGGGGCTGCAGTCTCGTTTGAAGTAGGTGCCTCTGGATTAGAGTTTTGGGATTCAGGTCTGGATTCGAAACCCTAAAGTCAAGACTAAAACCCACCCCAGGACAGTGCCGTCGATCTCTTCATGCTTTTTGATGACGACCACAGCGGATTAGCAGCTGCGCTTGTTAATCAATGTCTCGGTCTTCTTCAAAGCTCTCTCTCTCTCGCTCTCTCTCTCTCGCTCCCTCCCGCCTTCCCTCCACATCCTTACTCACATATTATGTATCTTTATATGTATTTAATATAGAACCTGTTTGGTAAGTGTGGCAGTGCCGCTTGTAGCTTTTTGTGACCCTTGCGTCTCGGCTGCCTGGCAGCTTGAGAAGGCGAACTTGTGTGAGTCAGAGGCTACTCAAAATACTAAAACTTCACGCTTCAACTCTTGAATCAACTGTTCAGGTCGACTACAACGAATTCCTTCGTCACATCTTTCCGGACCAGTATGTGGAATACATTCAGGAGCCCCCTTTTCCCCACCCCTCCGCCGCCTGCTCGCAGCTCCACGCCGTGGCCTTCGAATTTTCCTCGCAAGGAATCCCCAGTAAACAGCCCTAGGGATCAAAATGGCCCAAAAGCCTTGATACATGGGTAGTTGTCAAAATTATGATCCCTTTTTGGGTCCTTATTATAATACGGCACCTAATATTTAGGGTACCCAAAAAGGGACCATAATTTTGACAACCACCCATATGAGTCCCTAGATCCCTAGCAAGCCTTGTTTCGGGAGTCGTAGAACGGCTGCATAGGCTCCGAAGCTTAACTTACCCCGAAACCCCCGAATGGTAGTACCTAGCAAAGAGGTCGGGCTAAGCACTGGTAGTCCTTGCAGGTTCCGGAGGCCCCATCCGCCCTGTACAGGGCTGCAAGGGTGACAAATAGTACATGTAGTACTTGTATGAAGAGTCCGAAACAATATAGCAATTTCGTGGGAGGTTGAAAATTTCTATGTTAGCAATAAGAAGCCCTAGTCCTTACAGGCCGTATGCCTGGAGCCGCAACTGCAGCAAGATCACTGCCTCAGCCCAAAACCGGACACAACATGGGTGCAGAGTGTCCGGGAAAGTCAGAAGATCCTTGATGCGAAGCCTTCGCAGATTTCGGTGCATCGGCTTGAGGATGGAGGGTGTTAGGAACCGGGGGTGGGTTTGGATTTAGGATACATTTCAAGGTTGCTTAGCAGGTAGTGTTTCAGGATGTACTGATAAGGGTCTGCTGTTATAACCCGGCAACCCTCCGCAAGCCTGAATGCAGTTTCGTTTCCAGGCATTTCTAGGGTTTAAGTTGGCTTTGAAACCCTGGAGACATGGGAGTGTTAACATAAACTGTGCTAGTGCATTCTTTTTGTGATTGCAACTGTACGTAATTCTTACTGTTATGTACGATGAGTTGTGCAGTACTTCTGAGACCTAAACCCTAAACCCTAGACCATGAGTCACCCTGCGGTGCGACATTGTCAGCTGGGCGGGTTGGAGAAAACCATGAGTCAGACCCTGACATGGCAAGACTTGCTACAAGACAGGACAAGCAGCAGGAGGACGAGGAGATGCGATCATCGAGCAAGCGCGTGAGCGAACTTTCGCCTGCATTTTGCATCTAGTAGCTGAGTATACAACCTTTAACCTTTTGAAATTTTGGGGTTTTACATAATCTTACCCTAACTGAAACGGTTATATTGTTGAAAGTTTGGGTTTTACATAATCTTACCATAACTGAAAAGGTTCACCTTTGTTGGGCCAGGGTACTCTCAGCCCCTAGGTTGCTGTGAGGCCTCAGCAGACAAGGTGTCCGGAGTCCGGAGCAGGCCCCAGCCAGAAACTTCAGATTTTTCCTGACTGAAGGACTTAAGGACCGATTACTTAAGGACTTAAGGACAGATTACTTAAGGACTTAAGGACCGATTACTTAAGGACTTGAGGACCGAGGACTTAAGGACCGATTCAGGAAAACCCCAGCTATGACAGCTGAGATTTAAAGAGCGCTGCCTAAGCAATGTCTTGTAGGCTTAGGATTGCATGAGAGTCCCTGACTTCTAAACCTCGAATCGTGCGAAGTCCGTCTGTATGATGGAGGCCCAGGAAGTCCCTACCTGGGAGTTTCCGAAAATAGGGGACCCTGATATCGTACCCTAATTAGTAGGATCCTTATTAGAAGGACCCCCAAATAAGGTACTGCACCCCCTATTTTCGGAAACTCCTCACCTGGGTTCCGCTGTTCTAAGCCTGCTTGGTGGCCTTATGCTTGCTGCCGAAGAGGGGCTCTGAGGCACGGGGACTCCTGAGTTGGCCTCGCCCTGCTGATCGCCCTTTCGGTCTTTGCAAAAACGATTTAAGACGTCCTGCTGCTGTGACACGATGATGACGATGATGGACACAGGTTTGCCATCACCAGCTAGTTCATGATTGGCAGCAGTACCCACGAAGCTGCAGCAGCAGCAGTAGCAGAACAGATGTCGTCGTCGATTTGTAGAGATGGTTACACTTGCTTACACACGCCTGGTTGTCGTGTTAGTCTGCCTGCCGGTCTGTATGTATGCACAAATCCCGCAACCAAGTGAAGTTTTGTTCGAATGTTTCAGGCCCCCTTTTTTCTGCAGTGAGAGAGAACCGGCCCAGGAAGCCATTCAGCGATGGGAGCAGGTTCGCAACTCCGTCTTCAGCAACGGCTCCAAGCATCAGTGACAGAAGAGTCATGATGACAACGAAGCTATTTCCCATGACCCAAGATGTACGGTCGTAACCTTAATCATCACAGCAACCGACACTGGCCTTGAGGCAGGATTCTAAACCTAAAACCCTACTTGGAGGCTCATGGGTAGTTATAAGCAGAGTTAGTAGGGTAACTGTACTTATAACCGCTATCAGGGGACTTATAACCCCACTTGTAACTACCCATGAACCTCCAAGTAAAAGGATGCTATTTTGACGGACCTTGGTTACTCAAGGTCCCTTTGATCTCCCTCTCTGTCTCGGGCTCGTTCCCTCTCCCGAGTCTCTGCCAGGGTTTAGGGTTTAGGGGCTCCCTCCCTCCGTAGCAGTTGAGGGTTTCGGTTTCAAGGCGTTCGGCAGTTGCCAAAACAGGTGTTTAGGGGTCGTTTGGGGCTTAGGGCAATGTCACGTCATCTATTTTAAATTTGAAAATTATGCACGAACCCGAGCGAGAAAGCTGCAATCACCAGTTGTCCCGATAGTTACCAGCAAAGCAGACACGTGATTCATAAGACGTGCTCCATCCTTCTACCTACTTGTCGGCCTGTTGGTACGATTTGGGGTTTGCTGGTCAGGTTTCTGAGGGGTTCAGGCGTTGCCAGGTTCAAACTCTCCGTGACAAAGGCAAAATCTAGCAGCGAGCAACAGTCTGCATTCCTCGTGAGAAGCGTTCAGCACCCTGAGCGGTTCGGCTCGGCTGGGATCGGAGTCCGAGCATGTTATGATTGCGTTAATCGCGACCCGCCGGATGTCACTATCTCGGTCATGCTGTACCTCCTTTGTCAAGGTTGCAGGTTTGAGGTTGAAGGCGCCACATGCTTTGGTTTGCATGTCGCATCACGAAGTAGCCCCAAACCTCTCGGGTAGATTTCGAGGCGCCGGATGCTTACACCGTAGTCGCGCCCCATACATGGGAGTCTCAGAACTCTACAGCGTGTAGTACTTGTGGGACCCTTAATATTCCTTAGTTATTAATAGTTATTAAGACCTTTCAACAGGATCCCCTACTCAAGAAACCCCCTTTCCACGCCCGCACCCACACACACACACACCATAAAGCAGCGGTGACGACTGGTGAAAAGGGGGCCCGGGATGAACCGGACGTCGGCACGTTTTGCGCGAAGCCTTCTTGAGGGGGTTCACTCTCGGGCTTGAGAAGCGCAGCACACAGACATGTGAAGAATGATCCTAGTCTTTGCCTTTGCTGCCGGGACCACCGTCCATGAGTGCATGCGCATACACACATATGTGCATGCTGATACTCATCCCTTGCAATTGCTGCGAGGATTGCTTGAACTGCTGTGGCTTCTGTGTTTGCCTGGAGTATATAGTTTGCTGCCATTGGCCCATTGATATTTTTCCATGTTAATGGCAATGACTCATGCTACTCCGGCGCTACGGAGATACCGGCAGGGCTGTATAGTGAAGTAAACAACGACTGTAGCACAAGCCAGGGAACGTGCTCTGCCTCCTGACGCCCGGATGGCCGTAAACCTTCCTCTCTGCAAAGACTCAACATAAAGCCGAAAGACAGAAACCTCTCAAGCCCTTGATTGATTGAGCTGATGCAATGCCAGCTTCCACCTCTCGAGCTTCCGCGCCCAAAAGCAAAAGAGGCAAGCAGGCAAGGTTGAGCAGACACGCAGCGGACAGACTTCCTGACAGTTCCTACAGTCCTAACCCTGCAACCGAAGGCCGTCGAGCATGCTTCCCTGCTTGCCTCCCATTTAAGCATGCCTGATGTTCGCCACATGTGTGCTCGAAGCCATCCGATCAGAGTAACCATTGTAACCATGCTACACGGTCTGGGTTCGGGGTGACAGTTTCCGAGGACCACAGAATTTCACGTCGGGCTTTTGCAAGCTGTGGACAGACATGGCTACGGTTAAGCGCATTTTCAGACGGTAAATCAAAATAAGAATCTAGTGTAGGTGTAGACCCTACTTATTAGGATCCTGGTTATGAGGAGCACCATACAGCTCACTCCGAGAAGTCCCGTATGAAGCAACTCCGGAAAGTCCAAGCTTTTCGAAACGAAGAGTTTCTGGCGGTGTCTAGTTTCAACAAATGCGGGACGCTCTCCAGACCCTTATTCTGGATCGCCTGAGTTGCGAGAGCATAAGTATATAGCAGGACCCGCATTATCAAGCCACACAATTCAGGAAACGTTCAAAGAGTAGACGCTCTGTCCTGAATGTTCGCGCACAGGCCAGGGGATAGCGTGTTTTTTTGCAAGTTTGGGCTCAGGGGAGTTTTTCAGGGCTTCGTCACCTAGACTCCTGGCCCGAACTCCTTGTCTCCTAATGTAGGAGCCTCATTAAGAAACCCTGGGCCTATAACACCAGAATAGTAGGATTCATGTAGGGAACCCTAATAAATACAGGCCCAAGATTCTTAATGAGGTTCGTACATCAGTCTTGTCTTCAGATCTTGCCTGGACTTGTCTGAGTGTCAGCATCGAAAGCCCGAAGGAAGGTACCATAATATGCTGGCCTCGGCATGTATTAGAGGGTTTTGATACCGGGCCATGTGCAGAGAAAAGAGGCTTACAGCTTGGTTGCATAGTATTGCATGGCCAGGATCCAGAGACGAGTCCCATTCTTGTAGGATCCCCTTGTCTTTGGCTTCGGGAGTCACCTGGCAATTCATGCATGGAATTTGGTACTCCCCGGCACATTTGCAAATGCAAAAAAACGTCAGTGGTGGTTTCTCAGCACGGGCTGATGAACGACTGGGTCATCCTGCAGCCGAAACAACTTTTCAAGCCTAACGATGAAAGCGGCGATGACATGAAAAGAGCGTCAGTCGAAGCCCCAGCCAACAACCGTACGTTTTCTACATGTTCGTTGTAACTCGACAGCCTCCAGTCTCTCATCGATGGTCTTGTTATCACTATTACTCATATTGCCATGGTTTACGTTAAACTTAGTCACACATCTGTTGCTGCTGTTGGTTATGGATGCGGGTTTGGCTCTATTCCTTTTGCTGCTTCTTCTTGGTATCCGCGTCCACTAGTGTTTGTCCTGTCTTATGTGCCCGGGCTGCTGAGAACCCTCCGCCGCACGCCGCCGTGCCTGCATGTTCTCCAGTTTTGTTTGCGGCCGCTACTTCGGAGCCCTCAAGCCGCTTAAGCTCCAATGTTCGGTATTGGGATTCGGGTATGGTATGAAGGATACATATATATATATATATAGAGGATGAGGGATGAGTGGATCACGATTAGCAGACATACCTCAGGCTGGAAGGTCGCGCTTAAAGCCCGCTATACTATGCTATACTTACGGTGCAGCTCTCGGAGGATGCCAAAGACGTCACAACATCTACATTTGCACATGGGGTTTGTGACCAAGGAAGGTGTAGTTTGACAGGTTAAGCCACAACTCAGCAAGGGCCTCCAGCTGTAATCCTGTAACGGAAATCCTCTGTCGCAGCAGCACAAGTGGCGATGTCAACAATTCACACGATGAGTGCAGTCACTGTGGCGTAACCAAAGCATAAGTCGTCGGCGTCGTAGCAGCACCACCACCACCACCGCCACCGCCAGCCACCGCCAACGCCCCCCCCCCCACCACAACGATCACTACCAACAACAACAGCAGCAAATGCAGCGGCACCAAATGCAACAGCAACAACTGCTGCAACTGGAGCAATGGAACAGTAACAGGAGAAGCATCGTCAGCAGCAGCGGCAGCTGTAGCAGCAGCAGCAACAGCAACAGCAGCAGTAGCAGGAGCAGGAGCAGTAGCCAGGTGCAAGTGGCATGTAGCAAGGAGCAAGGAGCAGCAGTAAGTAGCAGGAAGTAGCAGTAAGTAGTAGCAGTAGTGACAGAGGTGGTCGTAGTAGTAGGATTGTAGCAGTAGGAGTAGGAGTAGGGGTAGGAGGCGGAGTAGGAGTAGGAGTAGTGTAGTAGTAGTAGCAGTAGTTTAGTACTAGCACTAGTAGTAGTAGTAGTAGTAGTAGTAGTAGTAGTAGTAGTAGTAGTAGTAGTAGTAGTAGTAGCAGGAGTAGTAGTAGTAGTAGTAGTAGTAGTAGTAGGAGTAGTAGTAGTAGTAGTAGTAGTAGTAGTAGTAGTAGTAGTAGTAACAGTAGTAACAGTAGTAGCAGTTGTAGTAACAGTAGTAACAGTAGTAACAGTAGTAGCAGTTGTGACAGCAGGAACAGTAGTAACAGTAGTGCTGGTGCTGGTGGTGGTGGTGGTGATGGTGGTGGGTCGGTGCAGTAGGCCCAGTAAGTGCTGTCGGTAGTAGTATTACCAGCAGCAGTGGCAGCACCAGTAGCAGTAGCACTTGTACTGAGAGTAAGCGCGAGCGTACGCAAGCATGAAAGCAGGAGTAATTTTGGAGTAGGACATAGTAACAGTAAGAGTATGGAATATGGAGTATGTAGTATGTAGTTGGTATTCTGTAGTCGTCGTCGTATTGGCATATAGAAAGTAGTAGTAGTAGTAGTAGTAGTAGTAGTAGTAGTAGTAGTAGTAGTAGTAGTAGTAGTAGTAGCAGTAGCAGTAGCAGTAGCAGTAGCAGTAGCAGTAGCAGCTTGAAGGTAGTTCAAATAGTGGCGGCCTGTCCGCTGATCGCCAGTTGAGAGGACGAACAAGGTGCGGCAGCACGGGTAGGTGGGGTTTAGGGTTTTGGGTTTAGGGTTTAGGGTTTAGACTGGCGGAGGTGGAGCTGTGAACCTGTTAGGCTATTCATGTTGTTCGAAGCTTCATGCACAACAACGCAACGGCCTGACTGGTTTCGTCCGAGTACTAGTACATTCAGTACCATGCAAGCCTAAACCCCGGATCCTAAACATCCCAAGCCTTCTCAGCTATGCAGGAGGCAAAAGGAAGCATCCCAAGAATAAGCTTGCAAGGATTACTCGAAACAGCCCTCCAAACGGCCCGACAGACCAGATCTTTTGTTTGTGAGCTTGCGTGGTCTGGACGAGCCCTCACCTCCAAATTTTACATAAAGGGTTTACAGTAGCCCGACGAATCCGAACTGACAGCCCTTTTGCCCTAATTGAGGTCGATTGAGTATAGTTCCCAATTTCTCCGAAGACCTTACGGCAACCTCAAACAGAGCCAAAGTGTTACTTCGTGTCTACAGGGTTTCGCCAGCATGGAATCCGACACAGCAGAGCTGTCCGGCGGTGCAGCTGGCAGCTCTCAGCCAGGTGTCTCGTCTCTCGCAGATCTAACCCAAAAACTTACCTCCAAGCTTTCACCAAATACTCACAAGAAGTTCCATTGTTCAATAACCTGGCCCCTAAACCCCCAACCCTAAACCCCAAAAAACCTAAACCCTAAGCCGTTGTTCCCCTGCTTCCTGCTTCGGCCTCGTCTTCTTGTGCTCATGGCTTTGGTAAGTCTCATGGTACGGTTGATGATACACATCCTGCAGTACCCATAATAAAGAATGTACCGAATATACCATAATTCCCATAGTTTAGGGTCTTTAAGGTAATGCAGGATTTATATCATCAACCGCAGTTGCAAGTTTGGGTGAGGACTTGATGCATCCCCTAATCCTAAACCCTGCAATTGGTAGCAATGCGGGAGGCAGAAGAAAACTCAGTTCCCGTGTAGTCTCCATCATAGTAGATGATTAGCCTCATGAGCTGCGGATTTAGCCTGTGTACTCGAGCTTAGAGGTCGGGCTGTGCAGCGCTGGGTTAGGAATTTGAGATATTTCGGATTTGCGTTCTGGGTTTTGAGAATGGAGGACGGAGGGATGCGGTTCTCGTCAAACCACCTTAAGTCCTGACGTCGGAGCCTGTCTTGGTAGTAATGTAGGAACCGGATTAAGAAACCCTGGGCCTATAACCCCAAAACAGTATAGGATTTAATTGCCCAAGGTTTCCTCATCAGGTTCCTACATTAGTCTTATCTCTTCAGGCCTCTGAGGGGGAGACGGATCAAGCTCCGGGCGACTTCGAAATGTAATTACGTTCCTTGACGCTTCCAACCCGAAAATTAGCCTTGTGTTTGTTTCGGGTTCCTTCCAGTCCCTACTCCCTTTTAGATTTTAGATACCAACAAAGTGCGAATACTGTAATCGCCTGAAAATTCTAGGGTTTGCTTAATTGGTATGGAAGTCTCGAGGCAGCGAGGCAACCCATGAACATGACGGCTCCTACAACGACATCGCATGTGTTTAACACGGCCAGTGCTGAGGGCATGTGGAAGCCCACGCTGGCCAGACGGAGGCCACAGGGGCCGTAAGTGAGGCCTTTGCAATGGTTCTACGATCAAAGGGGAAAAGGAGGGACCCTCAATGGGGACCCCTACCCTATAATGGGCTAATGCGTATATAATAGCTATATTAAGGGTAGATACCTAGGGGTTCTCATTAAGGGTCACTCCTTTTCCCCTTTGATACGAATAGTCCCGAAGGTGGGAGGGCGGGCGGGAAGGGGGGGGCAGGGATTCGTAGTCTTGCTACCTGGGCCGTTGTGTAACAGTGTCGGCCTCGAATGTCTATGTCTCCAAAGTGCAAGATACCTAGAGTCTCCATTGTAGCTCCTTTTTGGGGTTACCTTATAGGATCCTAATTGTATAATTGGTTAAACCAAAAAAAGGAACTACAATGGAGCCTATAGGTAGAGAGGTTTTGGTATTTCCGAGACCTTCGTCTGAAGAGCGATTTTTGAGTTGCCATCCCCCTCAACACTTCTGACCCAAAGCATCACAACTCGCACGCCGTGCATGTTTGAGCAAATTCTGACATCTGGAAATGGTAGGGACGGCAGGATCCCGATTGAGGCCATCGGGGTTTCATCGTGTTGTTCCTTTCTGTTGCGATGTTCTGAGTACTTTTGGATGAGCTTCTGGTTCGTCGCGCGGAAGCGCTTTCATGACGAAGTGTTTGTGCTTTCACTGGTGCAGCCAGAATCATAAGGCTTGGGCTCTTTGCAACAACTCCCGTTGCAAACCGGGCAGTCAGGGCTACGTGGCGCCGTCCGATCTGATTCTCTGCATTGTTCTGACCCGGAGCGTGCCATTGGTGCAAAACCAGCTGTTGGGTTATTATTAGTTAGTAGTGGGGCTTAAAGTAGTGGGAGTCCTTGCCCCAGTTCGAACAGCAACTATCTCGGTGCATTTTGCTACAGAGCAATCCCTGTGCCTGTAACCGTTGACAGAGTTCATGTTCTGGTTTGCCGGGTTGAAGCGGAGCGTTTGGGCAAAAGGTTCCTGGGAACTCGGAGGCACTTCAGAGAGACCTCGATCAAAACAGTTTCCTGGGAGCCTGGCCCACGAGGTGTAGCAGCTTGTCACGTCAGGTTTTGGCCTTACTCCATGACGTATGCATATTTTGCATTCTCCCCAATGGCTGATTTGTCAGGCACCAATGCGGAGGCATGTGCCTGCCGAGCGCCCAGCAGATCATGTGAGAGATGCAACGTATGGGAAGACCTCGTTCATGGTTGCAGCATCTGCCGTTGGGACGTTCGGCGGAAGCACTTGGGTTTGAAGTTTCCACGCGCTTCCCTACTGTAGGCACGGAGGCTCAAGTTTCCACAACATGTGCTGTTCTTACGCAGGACATCCACAGCTGAGCCGCGTTGAGTTTGGGATGTATGCCCACGCATCGCAATCTGAATGATCGGATGGTGGGATGTCACGTCATGGGAGCGATCATGATCCATGAATCAGAGCATATTCCGGTCTGACTTAACTTCTCAGCTGGAGTAGCCAATGCAGCTCAACCTAAAAGTCTAAAACCCGACATACTTAAGCCCTAAACTTCAAAGACACATTGGGCTGATGGTATGATGGTACCTTGCCTTCCGTTGCCTGAGCTGCTACAATAAACTGAACTGGTCTTCGCTTGCGAGCCCCTAAAAACTCTGATCCCAAGATATTGCGACCAAACTGAGGCTGTAAGTGTTACGTGTGCACTACGATTCGTACCGTTGCGGTGCGTTAGGTCGTTTGCGTTAATTTGTTGACCAGCCTTTGGCAAGTTAGATTTGTGCGTTGCTGCCGCCGCTGGGCCCTGGCATCGAGGCTTAGCAAGGGCGCTTTGAGACTCATTCGCTGTGCCAAGCCTGGGGGATCGCATGTATAGGGCTTCGTGTGCATGATCGTCGTGCATGTGTGTGTGTGTGTGTATATATGCACGTGCGCGTGTGCAGTTAGGGTCGCGAGGCTTGGGGAGTCTTACTCACCACAATTTCCGAGTTCAGATTTGGCATATGGATAAGATTAATGGCTTGGGTGGCTGCTTTGGTTTAGGGTTATGTATTGGATAAGGTTAAGGTTTTGGGTGGTTGCTGTGGTTTAGGGTTTTGTGGTAAAAGTTTGTGGGCTGTATCATTTCCCAGTTCAGGTTCGCATATTTACAGACTGTTGTGGTGTGACACGTGTTTTATGACAATGTGAGAGAAGTGGGGTTAAACGCTTAGGGGTGGGGGGGGGGGGGGGGTTGTCAGGATGAAGTCGGAATTAAACCTTCCTAGCTTGCCAAAGGGCCCCTCCAATGAGCCATCAAGCCCACTTTGCTGCCAGATATGGGGCTGACGCACTGGCTCACGGAGTTCGCTGGTCAACTTGCCCTGACCTCGGCTCCACACTCTGTAGCCGGTTTAGGGATTTTGCTTGTTGGGTTTCGCGGTTGAAGGTTTACATAGCCAGGGCGTTGGCGGTTCAAGGTCCCTTTCTTCTCGCTTGGCGGTGTAGTAAACAGCTTTTGGTCTCCTGTCAACCTCCGGCGTGGGTCATGGTGTGCTGGATAAAGGCGCGCAGGGCCATGGTCAGAGGACCAATGTTGGTTGCAGAAACACCTGCAGCAATGTTCGGTCGTCATACAAACGCATTCAACCCTCGCCGCTGTCACAGTACTACTACTACTACTACTACTACTACTACTACTACTACTACTACTACTACTACTACTACCACTACCACTACCACTACCACTACCACTACCACTACTACTACTACTACTACTACTACTACTACTACTACCACCATCGTGGACAAGCTAGCGACATGCATACAGCACTCTGGCACAGGATGGCAAGCACTTATTGTAATGATTCTGCTGAACGTTCACCCGAACAGGAGGCCGTGTAGTGTAGCGTCCAGGAATGCGAAGACATGCATTGAGGAGAGCCTCAACTGCTCGTACTCACATAAACAACGTTCACCCGAACAGGAGGCCGTGTAGTGTAGCGTCCAGGAATGCGAAGACATGCATTGAGGAGAGCCTCAACTGCTCGTACTCACATAAACAAACCCGTCAGGCCCAAACCAACATATGCGTTCCCACATCCATCTACTACTGCTCAGGTGCATGATTTGGGTGATGGTCATGACGCTGCCTGGCGGGCCAGCAATCGTCGAGGCCTTTTTGGGCAGACGCTCTTCAGGATCTCGGTAAGCGTCATCATTATGGGAGTTTCCGAAAATCAGGGTACCTCATTTTGGGGTCCTTGTAATAAGGATCCTAGTCCTAGTAACTCCTAGTATTTAGGGTATACTTTCAGGACCGGAAATGCGTGGAGAAGCTGTTGAGATCATGTCTTTGGAGACGATCATCCACACTCTAGTTCGTACGAATCAGCGTACTACGGGCCAGACAGGGCCTTGCCAGCTCTCTGTTTAGCAGCTTGGCCGCTGCGAAACCGCAAGTTACACAGACTATTGGGTGATATGGGGTCAGGATCTTGCATATGCAGCTGCACGAGTGCCCCTTGTATTGGGTTCGTCCGCAGTTTTTGTGCTCTTACTTCAGTGCTGCCACTAGGCGAAGGCATGCATCAAAGCGCATCCAGGCCAGATCTGAACATGCAGTGCTGGCAAGTGTTATCCTCCGCTTAGCGCCACCCTGAAAATAGGTGCAGTAGCCGTTCAGCATTGGATCAGCACGGCCAGCCATGGAGTTCGCCAACGATCCATATGATTTGAACAACGAGGCTTGGATGTGCCTTGGCAGCAGAAACGGGAAAGATTGAAGGCTAGAAGGCGGCCGCTTTGAAGGGTGTCGGCCCGAAAGACCTTAAAGCAGATTCGGATCCCGACAAGGTCTGCCATGGTGGTGCTGGAAGTGCTTCTGGTTGGCAAGACTCTGTGGCTGGTAGTTCAGAAACGCAAATCATTGACAGACTTTGTATGCAGATGCCGCCATTTCGTCTCATGGTGGTCGCACGATCAGAGCAAGTTCAGCCATGAGGAACAGAGAGTCATCAATAGCCGGGTACGACAAGCCCGAGCGGTGCTGGCCGTCAGTGTGAACAACTATTTCCTCGTCTTGTGGCTGTTGGTCTGTGTGCTGGCGCAGGTGAACATCTTTAGAGGAGTGTCCAGGTTCATGTCAGCGCAGTTCACATGGCACAATGTCATCTCTTTGGCTTTCTTCAGCGCTGGCTTCCTTGTTCCGTCGCTGCTGCGTCCCAGCACACTGGATGTGTGGTACGTTTGTGTCATGATCATAGTTACATCTCTGCTTGCACCCGGGGTCACTTCGCCAGCTCAGAGCGTCTTGTTGATGGTAGTCTCATTTGCCTTGGTTCGAATTCCGGCAGTGCTTGGTTGTACGCGACCATGGTTGGTGCTTTGCTGCGAGCTGGGGTTGTATGTTGTATCCAGAATTCGGACAACCGACGACGGAGACCACAGTTTTGAGTCCGATGTAGACGTCGGCGCAGCTCAAACCACTTTGTGGAGCTGGCTCCTCGTGTCGGCGGCTGCTTTGGCAGTGCAACGAGCTTTGCAAAGCCGAGAAGCACAGGGCTTGCTGATCAGCAACACTACAACGGAGCTGTCAGCAGCGACGTCTCTTCTCGAGCTTACCTGCGACGCGGTGGTGGAGCTCGATGGTGACTTACAGCTCACGGCTCCAGGTGCCGACATCGCTTCTATGCTGTTGAAGGATCCGAGCGTGTCGCTGCAAGGCAAGTGTTTCACAGAGTTTGTCGCGACAAGCGACGAGGCAGAGCGGGCAGAACAGCTCCTGAGGGGGTCCGACAAAGGTGTCCACACGGACGCTTTCCACACACGGCTGGTCGATAGCTGTTCCAGCAAGTTCCGCACGGAGGTCTTCCACGTGAGCTACAGCCGACTGGGTGGACAGACTCGCCATCTGCTGGGTTTGCGGGACTTCACGGATCAAGCCTCACTTGCGGGGCGCAGGGCCGTGGACAGCACCGTGGCCCGAGGAGCATTTGAGGAGGGCCAAGGCAATGGGAATGACCTGCAGAGCTTGCAGAGCCGATCTGGAGCAGAGGTGAACCGACTAGAAGAAACTCGGCACCTTGTTTTCATGCAGATCGACATGGACAGCTTGCAAGTTGTCACGGCATCAGTTCGCACCCCTTTCTTCGCAGGCAAGCATTTGGACGAGATCTTTGGTGAGGCAGAGATGAACTTTTTCCAGCAGGTCTGGCAGCAGGTGCAAGTTCTTGATCGGCGCGAAGAGCTGTCGACCAAAGAGCTCACTGTCACATCTTTGTACTTGCGGTGGAAGTCCAAGGAGGCCTGCGTTTCTGGGCGTATCGAGGTCACGAAGCAGTCAGATGGGCGGCTTGGCTTCTTGTTCTGCTTCGAGGAGCCTGATGCAGAGCGATCGGCAGCATCGAGGCCCCGTTCTCGATCGAGATCCTCGTCTCGCTCTTCGCGGCGGAAACACTCCAGCAGGCGTGCGAGCTCGGGAGACGGAAGGCGATCTAGCCACTCTGGTCATGATTTCACTCAGGTCTTACAAGCATCACTTGCATTGTAGAGGGATGCTCCGACCGTAGTTTCGCGCGCACGAACCAACCTGAAGCGGTGCACAAGCAATTGTGTTGTCACGGATTTTTCGAGCTATTCGCTTGGTCCTTAGGATAATCCTTCACGGCCAAAGCTCTGAGTTTCACCTGGACCATGTGGTCTGCTGCAGAGACTGCAGCTTGTGTTTTCAGCAGTTTCGAGAGACAGTGGAAGCCGGGCCCTCGAGTTTTCCGCTGCTGTCAACCCTAAGCCCGGAATCCTATAAAGGGAGGAAAAGGGCCCTCAAACAAAACCTACATAAACCTGATGTTACTGATGTTGGCTATGTTTTTCTGATGGTTTTGTGCTCGTGATTGCAGCAGGTTGTAGCGCGCACCTGACATCTCATCATGGCATATCAAGTTAATGGTAGCTGAGTCAGTGAGAGCCACTGAACACTGCGTTTCCCGTCATCCGACGGGTAATTAATGAGGTTGTATCATCCGCCGAGTATGCAGGAGGGGGGCTGCAGAGCGATTTGAGTCCGCACTGGAAGTGTAGGAACCGCCAATTTTTAATTTTTGGCCCCCAAACGAACCAGCTGCATCGTACTACGTGGCGAAGAACAAGGCAAGGTAATGGGTTCTCACACCTTCGCAAGTGAGAAGGACCCAGGCAGAAGCCGTTAAGTCCTGTACAATTCCGTGGACGGCCAAGTAAGTTTTGCAGCTGCGCAATGAAAGTCGACTTGGATCAGGACTCTGCTTCCATTCACTGGGTGTGCAATCTTGCCTGCCCTGCCTATACCCTGGATTGTGGCGCCTGTTGTTTGTTACCTTTGTTGTCTCATACAGGACCCTAACTGCCAGAACCACAAACCCTGAACCCTGAACCCTAAACGAAGGGTTCCCTTCGTTTATCCAACAAAAGGTGCTCGTGCTCAAAAGGAAAGGCGGCTCCCAAAGGTTCGCTGGAAGATCTGAAGTTGCAATCCCGGCCTGCTCCATACTGGTTTAGGCTTACCTAGAGTCTCCATTGTAGTTCCTTTTTTTGGTTAACCAAAATCTCTATTCTGTTATAGGATCCTAACCATAAAACTGGTCAACCAGAAAAAGGAACTACAATGGAGGCTATAGGTAGGGTTTAGGGTACATTTATGTTAGCACTTGTGGCGGATGAAAAAGGGCTTTTAACAAGCAGGTACATAGATACTGCGTGATCTTGCCTGATCACCTAGAGAATGCCTAGAGACCCGGCAAAGACCGATGACATGCCACACGATAGAAGCAGGTATGTTGGTAACTATTTCTGCACTTCTGCACCCTCATAACCCCTGCCTCGTTCGCCAAGCTGTCAGTCCGGAAAACTGTGTGAAACCTTCGTTCCCCTTGATTGATTCTAGACAAAGTTCCAGATAACAGGACAGCAATAAAGGTTCCGGCCCCTTTTTTATCTCGGCATGTTCTTACAATTTGTGTCTTTCCGGATGTGGCGCTTTCGGATATTCAGACTTTCAGCAAGGTGGTATCGATTTATACTCTTTGGAAGATACTCCCTGAGTGAGGGGCGACTACTGTTTCGTGCCATTTGGGGATCCATGTACCCTCTGTGGTGCCGGCTTTGGGTAGACCCCCCCTCCATCTGTCCCCAATGTGGACGTTTTGAGAGTTTGACTCGACCTCGAACCATGAGCTTCTTGCAAACTCTGCCAGGTGGAAACGCTAGGGTTGAGGAGTTGTGGGCCGAGGGTTCTGTTTTTGTTTTTATTGGCTGCAAGCCATAGGTCCTAAACTCTACAGGGTTTGGTACTCTCACGCTCTTAGCTGCAAAAGTGGAGTTTGCTTGGGACTCATCCGCAGCCCCTGTGCTCGTCTTTACACACCACCAATAGCATCAGAACATGCGTCGAAGAGCATTCTTGCTACACAGTGTCTAGCCACGCCGGCAATCGCGTAGTGCCCTTAGCTCGGAGGGCAATGGAGTTCTCGCTCGACCCTGATGACTTGGACAGAGAGGTTTGGCTGTGCCTTGCGTGGAGGTTCAGGGGTAGTTATAAGTGGGGTTACAAGTTCCCTAATAATATGGGTGATAAGTATAGTTACCCTACTTATAACTACCCTAAACCCTATATAGAACCCTTAAAAGGAACCCTATATGTGCCCGCGCTCCGCGTTCTCGACCCCCCCCCCCCCCCCCAATGGTATCCCCCCCCCCCCGACCCGGGCGACCACACAACAAGAACAAGAACAAGAACAAGAAGAAGAACAGCAGCAACAACAAAGCAGCAGCAACCACGCGGAGGAACCACAGGAACCACAGGGGGGGAGGGGGGAGACAGGAACCAGAAGAACCACAAAAGGGAGGGGGAAAACCAAGAGGAACCACAGGGGGGGGGGGAACCACAGGAACCACAGGGGGGGGGAGGGGGATTACCATGGGGGGGGGAGGGGGGGGGGGGTGCGCGGATGCTGGGGTGCGCGGATGCTGGCACATATAGACCCCTTTTAACCCTACAACAACTACCCGTGAACCTCCAAGTGCCTTCGCTGACAGAAAAAACTGGACAGAAACCGGAAGGAGGCCGCCGAGCATTTAAAACCGAATAATGATATATGGGAGTTTCCGAAAATAAGGGGTACCATGTTTTGGCGTCCTTATAATAAGGATCCTACTATTTATGGTGGGTCCCCTATTTTCGGAAACTCGCATATAGGGGCCCTAATAATTACAATAGGTTTTTTGGGGCCCGTTATACTATACTTAAAATAAGGAACCCCAGAATAGTGTAGGGAATTATTAGGGCATTTTAACCCTAAAACGTATACGCCCATCTCCTTCAAGCGAGAATGGGAAGGCATGAATGAGGACAGAGGAAATGAGGGCAGCGAGCAAGAGGGACAGCTTGGACTGCCCATTGTCTGGAGCCCTTTGAACTCTGTGAGTTCCGGTTTGCTTACCTAGACCCTCCTCGTACCCTCAAACAGGGGTATATGGTCCCTAATAGTGGGTATCGGTATTTAAGGTCTAATGGAGGCGAGAAGGAGGGTCTAAGCTTCTTGCTGTTGTTCTGCCGTATCTCTATGCATGGCGCATGGCTTTTGATGGCCCACCTCGGATGCCAGTGATACAAACAAACCGATGGATTGGGTGATGCCTTTGCATGTGGTATTGCGGATGCTCGTCATGGATGGTTGATGCGTGTGTGTGTGTGTGTGTGTGTGTGTGTTGGTTTGTTTGTGTTGAAGCAGGCGCGATCAGCAGGATTTCGGGTTTGGTCGTTTTAACCAAGCAGACTCGGCTGCATTTTGTGCATTCCGACTGGGTGCGATCAGATCAGTCCTGTCTGCTGTTGGTCCACTCATGGTTGACTCAGGGTTTCACTTCGTGCCTGCAAGAATTTCTTTTAAAGTGACGAACCATTATTTCTTGAGGTAGGATTTTTGTTCTGGCGGTTGTCGGCACAGTCAAACAGTAATATCCCTGCTCATAGTCCCTGCAAAGGCTTTCGGTTTGTAATGTGTTTGTGGAATACATTTGTACACCGCAAGCATTATTAGCGTGTATCGCAGTGTTTTGTGAGACCTTTGTGCGGACATACTGTTGATGATATAAATCCTGCATCACCTCAAGGACCCTACACTATGGGAATTATGGTATATTCCTTGTTATGTGTAATTCAGGATTTATAACATCAACCGTATGCGCCATCCGGGAGGAGTCCTGGCGGCATTAGCAGCAGGGTCCCACCATCAAAACGAGAAGATGAGACGAAACACCACCCGGACCCCCCTTTTACCCTCAAATTGGGGTATATGGTCCCTAATACAGTAGCGGGGATTTAGGGTCTAATAGAGGGTAGAAGGAGGGTCTAGGAACAAAGTGCACTACGGAATCCTTGTGAAACTCAGGTGTGCTGTGATCGTGCTGGAAGTGATGTTGCTCGGCAAGATTCTGTGGATGGCAGTGCAGCAGCGCAAATCACTGACGGCGTTTTGGCGGAGATGCCAATGTTGCATCTCATGGCGTTCGCCCGATGATAGCAAGTTCAGCCAAGAGGAACTGAGAGTGATCAAGAGCCGGGTCCGACAAGCCCGTGCTGAGCTGGCAGTTAGCGTGAACAGCTATTTGCTGGCTTGCTGGGGATTTGCTTGCCTGTCGGTTCAGGTCAATATGTCTCTAGGCTCTCCGAGATGGATGTCACCGCAGTTCAGTTGGCTTTGCGCCGTTCACCTGTGTTTTTTTGGTGTTGGCTTCCTTGTTCCGCGGGTGCTGCGACCAGGCACGCTTGACATGTGGTATTTGTGCGTCGTGATGTTGATCGCTTTGACAATTTCCCCCATGGCTACCACGAGGGTGCAGAGCACTCAGGTGGCCATGGCCTCATTTGCGGTAGTCCGGGTGCCTGCTGTGCTGGTTTGCACAAGGCCGTGGTTGGTAATCGTTTGTGAGACGGGCTTGGTGGCTATAACTCAATGGCGGGCCTTGACAGGTACCTATTCAGCTGAAAGCTACACCAGTTACGAGTCCTCCCAGCTCAATCTGGGTCAGACTACTTTGTGGAGCTTTATGCTTGTGTCTCTGGCTTCCATAGCAGTCCAGCGATCGTGGCACAGCCGGGAAGCGCAGGGTTTGCTGATTAGCAACGCGACAACGGAGCTGTCAGCAGCGACGTCTCTTCTCGAGCTTACTTGCGATGCGGTGGTGGAGCTCGATGGTGACTTACAGCTCACGGCTCCAGGTGCCGACGTCGCTTCTCTGCTGTTGAAGGATCCGAGCGTGTCGCTGAAAGGCAAGTGCTTCACAGAGTTTGTCGCGACAAGCGACGAGGCAGAGCGGGCAGAACAGCTCCTGAGGGGGTCCGACAAAGGCGTCCACACGGGCGCTTTCCACACACGGTTGGTCGATAGCTGTTCCAGCAAGTTCCGCACGGAGGTCTTCCACGTGGGCTACAGCCGACTGGGTGGACAGACTCGCCATCTGCTGGGTTTGCGGGACTTCACGGATCAAGCCTCACTTGCGGGGCGCAGGGCCGTGGACAGCACCGTGGCCCGAGGAGCATTTGAGCTTGGGCCAAGCGAGGGCCAAGAGAATGGGAAAGATCTGCAGAGCTTGCAGAGCCGATCTGAAGCAGAGGTGAACCGACTAGAAGAAATTCGGAACCTTGTCTTCGTGCAGATCGACATGGACAGCTTGCAAGTTGTCACGGCATCAGTTCGCACCCCTTTCTTCGCAGGCAAGCCTTTGAACGAGATCCTTGGTGAAGCAGAGATGAATTTCTTCCAGCAGGTATGGCAGCAGGTGCAAGTTCTTGATCAGCGCAACGAGCTGGCAACCAAAGAGCTCACCGTCACATCTTTGTACATGCAATGGGGGTTCAAGGAGGTCTGCATTTCTGGGCGTATCGAGGTCACGAAGCAGTCAGATGGGCAGCTTGGCTTCTTGTTCTGCTTTGAAGAGCCTGATTTAGAGCGATCGACAGCATCGACGCCTCGGTCCCAAACAAGGTCGAGATGCTCGTCGCGGTCCTCGCGTCGAATTTCCCGTGGTCTGAGCTCGGGGCACAGAAGGTTGCGTGCAGACAACGCACTTTCGCTGTGAAAAGACTCGACGTCGCCTGCAAGCCTTTTTCCATGCTGTTGACGACGGCAGCCGCTTGCCCGAATGGGCTCGTGAGTTTTTACTTTGAAATGTCTCACTATAGCCACGTGGTAGAGGCGAGTTTACAATGATGGACCTGTGCCAGTTAGGCAAAGATCAAAACTCAGGCGTGAGGCTTTGGGTCGAAAACGCGAAGAGAACTGGACTCGATTGAACAACCAAGCGTGTGAGACAGCTGTAGGCTTCGGTGTGCGTCCCTCAGCATTCCGATGCAGGTGCTTCACGCGTTGATGACCTCATCTCCGTTTCTTGGGCACCTGCCGCTGCCAAGCACAAGTGCCTTGGCCAGAGTTTTAAAACCGATGCCCCATGGCCATGTACGATGTACGATGCGAGTTCTGGGAATAGTTTCGGCAGACAGTCGTGCATGGGAATGTTTGACATGTACAGGTGTTCCGTCAGGAGCGTTTTCGCTCAGCTTCAGCTCCCGGCAAAGCATATCCGGCATTGCATTAGGTGTCATGCAACGTCTGGCCCTCGTATTACAATTCTTCGAAGGTAGCTTGGGAAGTGCAAAACACAACCTCGCGGTGGAGGAAGCCGTTGAGAAGATTGAAAACCGAAAGTTAGAAAAGCCCAATGGGGCTATCCCACAAGCATCTCTTCCAATACATATTGAGACAGACTGTGTAGGGATGCGTATGTGTGTATGTGTATATATGTATATATATATATATATATATATATATATATATATGCATGCATGCCGGCATGTCTGCCCGCCTGCCTGGCTTCCTGGGTGTAGGGTGTCTTGAATTCTTCTACTGGTTCCACCAGAGTTTTTTCTTTTTTTGTGTGTGTGTGTGAGTTTCGATCTCCGGTGTTTCTCCGGTTCTTCCTTTTTCTTATGAGATGCAAGAGAGACTGTATGGACAGATCGGGTGTGTGTATGTATGAGTATAAAAAATATGCATAGACTTAGTACATATACTTGCATGTACGCACACGTATGTACAAACAGGTGCGATGTACACACACACACACATGTAGGGACAGCTCTGTGTGATTGTGTTCGGGCGTGATGGCATACATTGGTGTGTGTGTGTGTGTGTGTGTGTGTCTGTGAGCCCTTGCGATCCGGCTTCTGCTACGGGATTTTGCGATTGAGCATCTTGTGAACCATATAGTGGTATGGTCCGGTTATGTAGATACATTTACCCTCTGTTCTTGGCTGGAAAGTCTTAACTGCTAAGGTGCTACCGTGTCATTGATATTGTCTGGCCGGGGGTTCATGGAGCACGTTCAGTCTTACGGTGTCACATCTTCCATCTCTTTGCTGTTTTGTTTGGTCCGTTTGTGTATGTAATGTATGTAATGTATGTAATGTATGTAATGTATGTATGTATGTTTTCCATGCACCCTTTTTTAGAGCTTGTCGCTTGGGAGTGACGGCGTTCATGCACTAACGTCTACGTGGCATAGAGCACATCGGGACAGCACAAAGTGCACCATGCAGCCAGACGTGCGTTCCGGCGAAGGCTGCACTTGCATGGCTCTGGAACCACCCAGAGACTCCAATATCCCTTAGTTAAGGAATATTCCTTAAATTGTGGTAGGATCCCTTATATGATGTAAGGTATATTCCTTAATTAAGGGATATTGGAGTCTCTGGAACCAACCCTTGATGTCTGGCTGTGCAGCCCACGCAAGGCGTCTCGTCAGCTTCCTGGCCGACGCAAAGCATGAGGCAGCATGGTCAGCACCAAAGACAGACCCTATAATTAGGGTAACTATACTTATACTTATAACCACTTACAACCCCCATTAAGGTACTAATAACCTTACTTACATGACCCTTCCTTGAAGGCTCGTAGACACGATGCCCCAAGCTCCACGATATGTTTGGGAGTCTCCAACAGTGCAAGGGCGGGTTTTTGAGGTGGCCGGCCAAGGGTGCGGAGGTGGGAAATCGCGGCACGGTTTGCAGGGGTTGGGCCGGGCAGTAGGGTTTAGAGTTTAGAGTGCAGCGTGGCCCCAAAGTACTCACAACCGCCAAAAGCAGACAAGAGAGCCCTAAACGTTGGAGTGCCCAGGAGCAGCCAGATGCTGTCAAGAGCGCTTCTGCGACTTCCGGTGTCGCCTTGTACAACCCGGAGAACCGGATTCTCAGATGTATGTTTGGAGGGCTGTGCGGTTTGAGCATGCCTTTCCATGTGCCGGATTTCAGTAAGGGGGGGTGGGGTTGGGAACCTAAGTGCCGAGGCTGCGCTCACAACGGGGTGTCGACTGGTGATTGGAAGGAGTTTCTGCACTTATACATATTTAGATAGATACACAGGCATATAAAGATGTATAAAGACATGGTTCTGTATTCATGTAACTATCTCTGTATGTATGCATATATTGATGAAAGGGGGACGCTTCCCTTCAAAGGCGAATCTTCCTGGTAGCGGCTCCAGTCACTGTCTTGGCTGCCGGCTTCTTTGAGTGCGCCTGCAGGGAGGGGCGGAGTAAAGCAACCCGAGGCGAAAACTCCAGACTCTCTAGCTGCTCTGGGGTTTAGGGAAAGGGTAGCCCTGCAAGTGTGAGAGTTGCAGGGATGTTGGCCGGCACTTTAGGCCGTGGTGAAAGGGTAGCTCTGGAGTCTGGAGCTCGAAAAACCCCAAAGCCGTAATGCCCCTTGACCCTCGAGCCGGAATCCCTTTGCCAAGAAAAGAAGCGACACAGGGTGTTAATGGTTCCTCAAAATACAAGCCCAATATCCTACAACATCAAAACTCAAAACCCTAATTCCCTTATGTGGAGCCTTGCCTGCCTTGTGCGAGTGTGAGCGTCGAATTCCCTAAACCTGCTCAACAGGAAGGCTTCAGGATGAAAGCATATGCTCCGGTTCGGCAAACTGGTCCAGAAAGAATCCAATTCCAAGCTTCAACCATTAACGGAATGTTGTCCGGCGGAAGGGTTGATGTTCTCTTCTGTCCCGAAAGGCCCTAAAGCCTAGGTTCGTCCTAGCCAGGCGGGAGGGAAAAAAGCCTGGACTTGGCCCATGTTGGATCTACGGTTGATGATACAAATCCTGCACTACCCATAATAATATGGAATATGCCACAATTCCCAGAGTTTAGAGTCCTTAAGGTTTATACCATCAACCGTAGGTTTCAATCAAGATCACTGCAGCCCCTGCTCAACCCTAAACCTCCAGCGCCTGATTGATGAGCCGGGAGTTTGGCCAATGTGCTACCGCTGGGACTGGGATCCTCGCCAAGGCTTGTCCGAGAGTGAGCGCTGAAACCCCAAACCCTAACTCCGAACCCTAAACCCGAAACCCCAAACCCTACCGACCAACAAACAGGCAGGTGGAAAAAGGCATTTAAAAGACCCAAACCCTAACCCTAGAATAAAAAAACCTTAAATCCTAAACCCTGGAGGTACTGGGGCAAGTCCCGGCTAGCTGAGACGGACCTGGCAGCGCCCCTGCCGAAGGCTGGTGAGCCCGAAGCGAAAGTTGACCGGGTAGTTGAGCACTTGGAGGTTCAGGGGCGTTCTATAGGGGGCCTTAATAGTTAGAATAGGGTTTTGGGGCCCATTACTTGGAGGTTCAGGGGCAGTTATAAGTGGGCTTACAAGTCCCCTTATATGGGGTATAGTTACCCTACTTATAACCCTACTTATAACTACCCCTGAACCTCCAAGTAGGTAACCTTTACAATTTGGGAGTACTGTAATCCCACCTAAATATACCGGTAAACAGTCAAACCTAAAGTGACGGCACAAATCGAGAACTGCATCAAGCAAAACACCATATTAAGTTTAGCCGTGAATTGGCTCCACATTCAGATGTCCTCGCGTGGTCAGAGTCCGAAAGCCCTGCAACTGGACGCCCACAAACCGGCTAGGTCGTTGAAGCTGCCGAGAAGGAAGAGGAGGCCGGAAATTTGGTGGCTTAGGATTCTAGGTCAAGGGGGCTTACAGTAAGGGTCTAGATCAAACCGTGCACCGTGCCTATAGAACTGAGCACAGGAAGATCCGCTAACCAGAAGCTGTACCACTGTACCGAAAACGGTCCGAGACATGTGCGCCGAACCCGGCAGCAAATCTTCCACCTCATCCCAGGGCGCTGAGCCCAGCACCTGCAGTTTCATGATTCTGAATAGGAGTTTTAGGCCGCCTGTACGGAGGAACACATGGGCACTTCTCGAAATTAGGGTCCCTTTTTGGGGTTCTCTTTTCAAGGGTGAAGTCTTGCAGTGCTTCCCAGCTGATCGGCAGAGTCTGGGTTCAAAAAAGGGTGAAGTGATATTTTTGGACCTTTGTTGCTGCAGGCTTGCACACAAGGACGCCTGGTAGTTTGTCATTTTGGGTACCTTAAGACCCTAAAGTTAGAGAGCTATTCCTGTTGAGGTGGAATTATTAGCAATAATCCCTTGGAGTCGACATCACGATATACTACTGTAATATCCCCAAGATCTTTTGCTTGTGAAGCTGTGTTAATCGTCCTCGAGTGCCGGGGTGGACTTGACAAGCTGAGCCCCCGGACCCGTAAACCGTGAAACCTGCAGTAAACTTGAATCTTAACCCATCCAAACCCTGAGTTCAATCAGCACGGAACCAAAGCCCGTCAGAACGGACAGTGGCCTTGCAGGTCCGGGCCAGCAGACCTAATCCCAAGCTACTCCTACAGCCCCATGCTTGCGACCATATAAACCCTAAACTAGGACCCAGAGTTTTCCATGATTTTCAAATTAAGGGTTTAGGTTCCCTGTTAACACCCTTTAAAAAAGCGACCCCCCCAAACTCCTACGGTAGCCTCCGTTTGCACCCGCCTCCCCATTCCCACAACCATAAGGACCCTGAGGGGGGGTAGGGGGGAGGGGGGTAGTGGACTATACTTCCTTATATAGGCCTTACTAGGTCCTTATAATTGGCATTAAGGCCCCCAGCCCCCCTTGACACAAGGGAGCCCGAAACACAACGGATGGGGCCCTCTGCCTCTGCTCAGAGACTCGAAGATCCCTTACTTCAGGAATATATATCGTAAAGTACAGTAGGATAGTTAATGTGATTTGAGGCATATGCCTCAATTGAGGGATATCGGAGAATTAAGGAATATATACATGAAGTTAAAGCAGGTTGCTTAATATGATTTAAGGTATATTCTTTAACCAACAAATATTGGAGTCCCTGAACCCTAAACCCTATAAGTCCGAGTTGCGAGTGTTTAAACCCTATAAACCCTAAACCCTATAAACCCTAAACCGAGTCTCTGCCTCTGCCAGGCTTCCAGCCTGCGGAGCGCTATCAAGGAGCTCTGCATGAATTGGATGGGGGAGGTTAGAGAGTTCCGCAGCAGTTCTATAAGGTTGCGTAGAGTTTAGGGCTCAGGGCGGCAGGGTTTCCTGATTGTCAGAAAATTTGAGGTCGAGGGCTTTGGCCTTTACAGCGCTGGTTTTAGAGTGCGCGAGGTATTAAGAGGTAAAGTGTAAAAGTTGGGTTGTCCTAAGCCAACGTCTCAGGTTGCCAGGTATTTTGTGCGGGTTTTTCGCAACCGGTTTGGTGCTTGCGTTCGGGCCGGTGCATCAACTGGTGATGAACCGTTGGCGCTCAGATTTCCAAGCATAATCTTGATGAGCTGGGTGTGCTTCGTGCTTTAGCACCCTATTGGCCCGATTGCACGCTCGCAGCTTAGGGTGCGACTCTGCAGAAATGCAGGTTGAAGCACCGGCAGTAGTTGTCGCCACAGTCATACACAGCCCACCCTAAACGCGTTAGGCCTACCCCCCCCCCCCCCCGACTGGTGTTATTCAGGCCCCTCGTTTGACCCAAGATAATAGTACACCATATACCTTGTACTATTATACAGCATGCCGTACACTAGATACTACGCACTATACACTGTAAGATGAAGGTCCTGGAGCCCTATGTGACGGGGCCCACGTCCATGAAGTGCGTCGCCCGGCCTTTGCAAAGCTCGGGATACCGGCGCTTTTTGTTTTACCAGCGTTAGTTGCAAGATCTTGTTTGAGGGTGCTGCAGATGGAAGGGTTCGACCATTTTTCGTTGTCAACTTTTTAGGTATTTGGTTTGTTGTGACTCTGTTCTGGTAGGCGTGGAATTGGAAGAATGGTAGTAATAGTAGTTATAATTGTACCCTATTCCTCCATTCCCGACTAACCCAAGGCAAGTAGGTAAGCCATGGCACCAAGGCGGGTTATGCAGCAGCTCATGTCGCCCTGCTGGCCATTGCACTCTACGTGGATGTCGCATCCTGGAATGTGGATGTATGTCTTGGTGGGTGTTTTAAGGTTCAGTCGGTATCTCTTCATGCTCACAGAGTGCCGGCAAAACTTGCTAACCATTGGAAGCTCGCATACAATGTTCGGTGGACGCAAGTCCGCTCGTCTTTGAGACAAGCGTATGGAAGCTGGCTTAAAGTCTGCAAGGCAGTGTTTGTGGCATTCGGCTTGATATGACCTATGGTGTACACGGAGTGGCATGCAAGGATCGGATTGTGACGATTCCGACAAATCGTCGGGCATGCACAGGCACACAGTTTGCTACTAGCCTAGTGATGCTGGGGACCTACTACGAAACAGCTGGAGCCCTCACGCCTCAAGCATTGCCTGTGTTGTGCGAGTCGTGAGAGTCGAAAAACTTTGGGCCCTAAACCTCAAAACCCCCAATGCCTAACTTAGCCGAGGCACTAACGCAATGGAACGGAGTCTTCTGGTCCGCTCTGCAGAACCATAAGTCCAAGCAGTTCTACAGAGCCCTGGCTTGGAAGGCTGGCGTTTGTAAGGCCTTAACATGGTGTTGTTTGCTTACTGTTCTTATCAGGGTTTGATCCAGGCAGAAGTTATATCATACCAGCACCAGGTTGTGTTTTTGAGACATTTCAGGCGTGTTCAAGGTACCTCGGAAGTGCTGTACGGTGCAAGAAAGTTGTTGAACACTTGCTCCGGGAGTCTCGCTGCCAGAAACACCCTGAAACACTTAAAACAACGAAAGTGGGATAACACAATAATGCAAAACCCAATGCCTTTAAGGGTTGGAGACATCAGCCCGGAGGAAATTGACCTCTCCCAGGCTTGCTGTGGGACTTCATCATCATCACGGGGGTCACTGGGTTCGTTGGCACCTACAGCGACTACCTCAACGGCCTCTTGGGCTGCGATCGTCGCAACGTGCGTGCCTACTGTGTGCGTGCCTACTGTTTCAAGTGCAGTGTGGACTGTGTTGGCCCAGTGCTTTCGAGACGACGATATTATACTATGACTCCTATAAAGAACCCCTGAGAAATGTTATTGGTATATTATACTATAACTATAATAAGGAGCCCCTCAGGAATATTCTTGGTATATTTTACTATAACCATAACAAGGAACCCCAAGGACTATTATTGGTAAAAAATGCTATGTATAATAGGGAGCCCCAAAACCGACGATGCTAGCCGAGGCATGTGGCACCTGCACGCACGCGATCATCTCACCCGCCACTTCAACGGGCTGTGGGTGGGAAGCGGGGCAATGTGCCTCTCGTCTGCTTGGAGGCTCATGGGTTATACGTAGGGTTCTAAGCAAGGCAACTACACTTATAACCCATATTAGGGGACCTATAACCTCACTTATAACTACCCCTGAACGTCCAAGTGAAGCACAGATCAAGGGTAGCATCCACCCCAGAACACAGCCCCAATCCCAGCACTGCCCAAGCAGTCCTACGACTTCAGGTTTTGCAGTGAAGCGTCCATGTGAAGTGGAAGGGTATATACGTAGACCCAGTCATATATGCATGCATATGCTCGTGCATATGTAAGTACATAAGTGCATTCATGTATGCAGCAATGCCTTCACCCATGCACACTTAAAACACACCCACGCACACACCTACACACAGACAAAAGCACATACATGCGCGCACACACACACACACCCACACACACACACAAACACACACACTCACACACAAACACACACACACACAAACACACACACACACAAACACACACACACACACACACACACACACACCACACACACACACACACACACCCACCCACACCCACACCCACACCCACACCCACACCCACACCCACACCCACACCCACACCCACACCCACACACACACACACACACACACACACACACACACACACACGCACACACGCAAAAAAACGCACACACACACACACACACACGCACACACAAAAACACGCACACACACACACACACACGCACACACACACACACACAAAAACAAGCACACACACCCACCCACCCACCCACCCACGCACGCACGCACGCACGCACGCACGCATGCACGCACGCAAATCACATAAACGCATGAAAGTATCCATAACCATGAACATATGGGTTTACTCACACACCTATACCTGCACACATAGATGCATACATACGTACATGCGTGAATTACACCTACGGGCATACGGACGTACATGTACACTTCTTTGCGCATACATGCGAGTATTCGTACATACATGCTTATTTGCATTTAAGGCTGTGTCTACCCACCCGCCGACCCATCGACGGAGCGACCGACGTACCTACCTACCCACCCCCAAACATATGCAAAAACAGTCACACATACATATACATATCCACATACATATACATATATACATACACATACACATACACATGCACATACATACATGTGCGGATGCATCCATGCATGCGTCCAAGTACCAAAAGACGTTGGCCTTAAATTAGAACCGCTTCAAGGCTTGAATAAACATGATGATGTGGGCACCGGTAGGCACTTGGACCCTTGGGGTGAGACTTGCGACCTTTAAATGACAATGAGAGATCAAGCGCCGAGTGTGCTGAAGTGTGGGAGCGAGGCATGATGCGGCAGTGCGAGGTCCAGGCCATGGGTGGGTTGAAAAGGCGCTTGATCTCTAAGCACCTACTTGGAGATTCACGGGCGCGTGAGATTTTTTTGTCTTGGGGGATATGAGCAAGTACAGCCAAGGTTATTGTGTTTGCTCGTACCCCTGCACTTGCAAGTCATACATAGATCCTGAAGCGGGATTTGCCCCTTGAGGGTTGTGTCAGAGTTGAGGGATTTATAGGGGTGCCTTATCTACAGTTGCGTGTAATTTTTTAGGATCTCACCATATATATATATATATATATATACACATGTATATGTTTGTATACACATGTATAGATCAGATAGGGCTGACAACTCGCAGGATTCCTCGTATAAAAATCCTCTACCAACATACAAAGATCACGATTATGTTCAGAAGGTCTTTGTAATAGCGCTATGAAGTCAGAAATTCTTCTAATGCTTCATATGCAGGAGGGTCCTTTGTTTAGACCCCAAACCCAATAGTAAACATAGATCCAAAGCCTGCAACACCAATGTCAAGCCTCATCTAGGCGAGAGAGGTAAACATGTCAAGCCTCGTATGGAACCATTTTACAAAATCCCAAAAGCCCGCTTCAGAACCCTTATAAGCCATTAGTTTCACTTGCCTTGGGAAAACAGCTTCGGGTCTTATCTCAGCTTTCCGGCTAAGCACTTCTGTTGCGTCGCTCCCAACCCCACGTGCCTAGGATACGTAAGCTAAGCATAGCTAAACCTAGGCTAACCTTGTTGTGGATGGATGTAGAGTTAGGGTCTGGCTTGGTTATCTGTTGAGCTGAAATTAAGTGAGTCAATGGCTAGTACAGTTCTCAAACGTATAACAGCTTTCTGTTGAACTGAAATTAAGTGAGTCAATAGCTAGTGAAATTCTCAAACATATAACAGCCAGAAGCCTTAGCGCCATGTCCTGCAAGCTCTAGAGAGAGGTGGACAACCCGGACCAGCGCATCGATCAGGATGTGGATGAGTTCGTGGGATCCACACGCGAGCTTCTGGGCAGGGAAGTGTTCCACATGCGGTCAGGTATGGCCACTTGTAACAACACATCGTGACTTTTATGGCTGGCGCGGTTACACCTCAGTTATTGTCATTGCCGACTATGCTTACACATGCCCCCCTTGTCCAGGTCAGAGGCTTGCAAGTCAGATATATGGGCTTGTGAATCGCGGCAGTCCTCGAGCCATGACTCATGCGACACAGCCACATGACGTTTGCAAGGGACGAGCACGAGATCAAGGAGCAGCCAACTGCCAGAGCACCGAAGGACAACAGCAACAAATAGCAGAGCAGGTCTGACGACCCGAAGGTACGTGAACCACTTTCCGGGTACATTCCACAGCAACTTAAAGGCCATGGTATCATGCATGTGCAGCAGAGACGACGAAGACGGCGACAACTCTCGCAACCACGCCGACATAATGGACACAGCTCGTGGTTGAGTTACTGCGTGGATTCACTTGGGGTATGGGCTGCAACGACACTGACAACATGGACACAACTGGTGCTTCTCTTACTGCCACATGGTTAGCATGGTGGTTCCGATAGGCCGCTCTAGGCTGCGCGCTTATGATCTGGCACGCCCCTGTCACAATGCATGCTGTTGTGAATCAGACCCTGTGCCCCAGTGCCGAATCCAAAGCCTTAATCACCAATCGGGCTAGAAGCTGAACTCTGAAAGCTGCGCTTTCTCACTTGAGGTGACCAACCGCCCTAGAAACACGCTCCCCCCAGCACCGCATGCCCAAATCCCAAATGTTCAAAAACACAACAGCAAGCATGCACACTGCTAGCAGGCTCTTCTTCGGAGGACTTGGGTCGCTGGTAAGGCAGGGCCCTCATCTTATCGGGTGTTGATGTTGAGGATTTGGCGTATAAGATTCGGGATATTGACACTTGTCGTTGTGTATTTATATACAGCCAGGCTGTTTGCTGCTTTTGCAAAGCTTTTAAGGTGTCCAGGGTTTCTCGATTCACTGGATGCTGTAGCGTTAGAGGCTTTGGGTTGTAGTTTGTTGCGACATCCACTGAGGCTAGCCATCTACTTCCCGATCTTGCTGCGCTCTGCGCCGTCACCCCTGCTAGGCCCACCGGGCGGGCAGCTGGGGAGTACTGGGAGGTTCAGGGGTACTTATAAGTGGGGTTATAAGTCCCCTAATATGGGCTACAAGTATTGTCACCCTACTTGTAGCCCTACTTATAACTACCCCTGAACCTCCAAGTAAGGACTTTCAAGTTCTGCCGGTTGGTTGAAGACAGTAGGAAGGTCGAGTAGAAGCTGGGCAGACGGCCGGTAGGACATGGGAGTTTCCGAGAATAGGGGGACCCTGATATAGTACCCTAATATAGTAGGATCCTTATTATAAGGACCCCAAAATATGGTACCCCTAATTTTCGAAAACTCCCACCTCTAGAGCCGTGCCACCGGAAAGGCTGTACCCGAGTGACTTACTGTCCCGGTGACTCCCGTGCAGAAACACTTTGTGAATTGGGGGGGGGTCATATTTATCAGTTCGGCAGCTATCGTGTAATAGCTTCCCTAGCTCAGTCGGTTACAGCGTGAGACTGGTAACCTCAAGGTCGGGAGTTCGAGCCTCCCTGGGAGGGAAAAGACCATGGAATCTTCATGCTAGGAACCCTACTTGGAGGTTCATGGGTGGTTCTAAGTAGGGTAACTGTACTTATGGTACTTATAACCCCAAACCCTAAACCGCCACATGCCTCGCCTGGATTGTCCGAGTGTGAGCGCCGAAACCCCTAAACCCCAGACCCCAAACCCTTCACGCTAGATGAAAGCAAAAGCCGGCATGTGGGTGGTTGTCAAAATTAGGGTTTTGGGTCCCTAATATAATACGGCACCTAATATTTAGGCTACCCAAAAAGGGACCCTAATAATGACAACCACCTATGTGGCAGCGGCCATGTCCCTGGGGAGGCTTCGTCCTCGTTTGGCCCGTGTTTGGTGCAGTTGTCACACACAAGCTGCTCAGTTGCCCGATAGGCGCGACATCTACTAGAGGGGCCTCTTTAATTGCCAGTATTTTGGGGGTTTCCTTAGTGTAAGTACTGTATAATGGGCCCCAAAACCCTATTCTAATTATTAAGGTCCCTACAGTACATTTGCACGACTATCTTGCATAGAGCCTTAAGCCCGCACAAAATGCCCAGCATCCCGAGGCTTCAGGCAAAACAGGTGAAGCCTGCTTCATGCTTTCAGGAGCTACACGGCCTTTCGAGGTTTCATATTAGCCAGACCTGGCCGGGATCAGGGCAGTGGTTTTCGTTTCGGACGCAACGGCTCATCAGCACATTATTTGAACTTGTGCTGTCGTTCCGTTACATGCCAGATGTTGGTTGCCAATCACTCCAGAAATTCCTCCAGCCTTCAATTTTTGCCCATCCTTCCCGGAAGCAGCAGTGAACCGACGAAACCAGAGCCTCAATCTGCATCCTAAATGTGAGCAACACCAAGCCCAACAAGCTTTCAACATAAATCATGTCTACAGTCTACAGGCAAGCGCAGGAGTACTAGATTGCAGCATACTGGTTCAATCGGCGTACTTGGATGTGTTTGTGTGTGTATGTGTGCATATGAATCATTTACACATACATGCATGCATACATAATATATACAGATAGGTAGGGTGTATAGGTAGGTAGGCAGATAGAAGTAGACAGGTATGCGCACAAACACACATATACATACATATACATATACTCATAGCTATACAAACTGAGCTTAGGCGGTTCTGTTCAAGATTGTAATGCAGTGCGCGTAAAGACACTTTCAGCAGTACTCGGCATACCATCTACTTTACACACACACATATATATATATATACATACATGCATATCATGCTCTCCTTAGTCGTATTCTAATTCCGTGTTTCTTGTACCTGCTTGGAGGTTCATGGGTAGTTATAAGTAGGGTTCTAAGTAGGGTAACTATACTTATAGCCCAAATTAAGAGACTTATAACCCCACTTATAGCTACCCTGACCCCTAATTAAACCCCTATAAAGCCTTAAACCCTAAATCCTATAGAAGTATGAGCGCCGAAACCCTATAGAACCGTTAAAGGAACCTTAAACCCCTTATAACCCCACTCTACAACTACCCCTGAACCTCCAAGTAGACGTAGAATTGACGCCCGAGGCTCGGTCGCAGTTTGGTGCCCCTCTCCCTCGCCGGCGAGTCGGCGAATGCCAACTTTAGGTCCGAGCTCGTGCACGCACGCGACAAGGCGCTTTTACTGTAGGGGCCTTAAGAATTGCCTGTACGGGGTGAATTAAAGCTTGATGGGGGGCCGCTTCCCTTGCAAAACTTTGCAACGCCTTGACGTAGCAGCTGTTTGCAGAGAAGGCCTCTGCCAGTCGTCGGCTTCTTCAGCACTCGGTTTGCTGCTATAGTGTCAGCTCTGCCGGGTCAGTGCTGCTCACACGGGTCCTTGAAAGTTGTTTGCTGTAGAGTCTAGGTCAGATTTATATACAGTTGAAGAAGTAAGTAGTCCTTCCGTACCCAGCCCGTACGCATTCGGGTTTCCTGATGTGGCTTTGCAATATATTCCGAAAAATGGAGTGTTGATGCCGGATCCTTAGGCATCTACGGAGGAAGCTTAGGTTCTGGAGTTTTGCACGACTTGAGTCGCTTCTGGGGATATGCTATAATCGAATCGGCTGGCAATTTGGGGTGTCCTGTCTGATGCGTGCTTCGACCTTTGTGCAAACAACCCTACACCTTCAAGCCATTCCTCGTCGACACATAAACGGCACGAGCTTGAGTTGGTTTGTGGGCTTCAAGCCTGAGCCTGGCGCCACGGTGTCAGTTCAGGGTTAGGAGACATCGACCCCTACCCACGATCGCGATGTGGGTAGTTTTCTGAATGAGGGCCCTTTGTTACGAACCAAAGTAGTAAAGCGTCACCCTTATAAGAGGGACCCTAGTTGAGAGAACTACCCATGTACCATTCTGGTTTTATCGTTCCTGGCACCAGACACTGTTGCCATGTGTTGCCATTCGAGCTCCACGGACCCTGCCATGTGACTTTCTGGAAAGGCGTAGTGGTGTTTACTTGCAGGCCCATGAATATGATGCGAAGATGTGCGCCATGACGGTCTAAATATCATGATCGATATCACTTGCATGCGCCAATACAACCGCACTAACTTGGAGCCGTAGCACTAGCTGCTACGATGGTTGTCACGGTGTGCTGTCATTGTTCCACCGATGCGTGCTCAGAGCATTATAGTCTCACAGCCCGGTGATTTCATGGCACAGGCGGAGAGCTTGGCGCTGATGCAAGCAGGCCCTCAGCTCGCGGCGACGCTGGATTCAATTGTGCAGTAGGATTGAGGGCGTATGGTATGTTATGTCCATACTTCCATAATCTCTCTCTCTCTCGCTCTCTCTCGCTCCTCTGTTCCAGTGTCGGTTTGTCGGTCGGTCGCCAGGTCAGGAGGCAGGCAGGCAGGTGGTTAGGTCGGTCGACCGGTATGTAGCCAGCTAGCTAGCTAGCTGTTTGTTGAAGTGGGTGCATGGGAGAGGGACGACTCTGGTTGGACATGCAGGTTGAGTGCATGGTTTAAGCCGCACCGTTGATGTTAGTCGGCCAGCAAGATGCAACCCGTTTAAACCTGTATTGCAGCATCGGGTGGGCCTTTAGAAACCTCTGGAACATGTTTAGATGGCGTGTCGTGCTTGAGCAACGTTGACCCTCCATGAAGGTCTGAACTGTATAGCCATCGAAACAGAGCCCAACCCTGCATCTCACCAATCTTGCGATCGTAAACATGCCCTCCAGCATTGACCCCAAGGAGCACCCCCCAAAACTCTACAGGCAGTTGACCTTAAACCCCAAACCTAAAACCCTCTTACTTTGTTACTTGTGTGTTGTTTTCTGACTTGTTTCGACTTACATAAAAATAATATTAATAATCATAATAATAATAATCATAATAATAATAATGATAATAATAATAATGATAATAACAATAATAATTCTAATATAATAATAATATTAATAATAATAATAATAATACTAATAATAATAATAAATAATACTAATAATAATAATGATAATAGTATTAATTAATAATGATAAAAATAAAAATAATAATAATAATACTAATAATAATAATAAATAATGATAAAAATAAAAACGGAAAATAGAAAATAAAAATAAAAATAATAATAATAATAGTAATAACAACAATAACAACTACAATAATAATAAGAATAATAATAAGAAGAAGAAGACTGATCATGATAATGATAATCATCATAATAATAGGGAACCATATTATTTACTACAGACTCCGTTTATAAATTAGGGTAACTTAAACAGGCTTTCTTGAGCTACCCACTTCTGGGAGCCACGGAGGAGCATTCAGGAGCGCTTCGAGGTAATGAAGCGCGTGGCCTACGCAGAGTTCGACATTACGAAGCTCCTTGGGGGAGTTCAGTTGCACCCTAAACTCCCTATATAAGCCCTAATAGTTAAGTTCCGGGGTTGGGTTACCGGTTTGGGGTTTAGTGTTTCGAGTTGCGGGTTCAGGATTTGGACTTGCGGTTCGTCGCAACAACCACAGCAAGCAGCTGTCAAAGTGGGGGGGCCCGATACTCTATGCATGCAGAACTGCATCCGTAAGGAATGCAGGTCTTCGAACGTGGGTAGCGGTATGGGACACGATTGCAGTACATTGGGGCCTCATACTCGCTCTATTCTCACTTGTGGATCTGTACAGTCATGAAATAATAAATAGTCATTTGTGCAGCTGAGGTTTCTCAACTTCTTCAAGATGATGTGCCTGAACTGCGACAGCCCGACATTTCCGAAAATCGGCAGCCAACCGAACCGTCTATACACTTCAGAACTCGTACCGATGGATTGTCTTTCCCATCGAAACTTTGCACCACAGTAGCCTCTTCCCGAAGACTGCAAAAGCTGCATCAAGGAGCAAATGTTTGTTATCAGGGATCGTAAGTTGGGAATCCTCTGCGAATGGCATGTTGGATCTTGTTGTTGAAGTGTACATGGTTTCCTTTGTGTACAGGTTCCCACAGTTCTCCTCGCTGACTAGGAATGTGGTCTTCAGCCCTCTAGCTTTCAACAAGAGTCTCCAGTGGGATCTTCTTGTGGTGTTTGAGCATGAAGACCTGAACCACGTACAGGTCCGTAGAGCCGTAATGGGAAGTGATTCAAGGGATGGCACAGTGAATAAATGTGTGTATGTGGTGCTACGGAGCAGAGGAAACCTGCTGAAATGAATACGTCAACGTGTAAGCAGGCAGCGATCACTGTCCACCATGTAGTCACTGGCCCAAACGGCCTGACAATATTTGGGTATCCTCTCTACGCTCGAGCCTAGAAAAGTGGTAAGAGGAGCATCAGTATGGCCTAAACACCCGACGTGTTTTGGCAAGCCGGGCCTCTGAAATATCGTAGAAGCCTTTGTCAATATCCAGGACAAGGAAGGCGCTGATTTTGACATGACAATACAGACGTGTCGGAAGGCGACTGTCCCCGAAACGCCTTCCCCGAACTTTCGAGCTTTAAATTCCTGAGAAGCAGGTCAACACCTTTCCAGCTCCTGACAGGTACGAGGAGTATGGCACAGTAGTGCCTTTCGTATTGCTGGCTCCCGCCTATTTCACTGGTGCCCTCGATCTGGGACAGCTGATGCAGTATCTCGGTTCGCACTTCTCCGAGATGCCGTACGCCCTTAACTCTGATATCCCGCACAGTGATTTCGGGCTTCGAAGTAGCAGTGGGTGCCGAAATTCGCTTCGAAGCAAGCAGGTTACAAGATTTCTGAACACTATACCCGAAAGGCCAGGTATGCGTCTTAGTGAAGAAGCAGATGTGGAACAGTGGTGCGTAACACTCGTCATCGTCATGGTTGAGGAAAGGAAACTGAGCCCCAACCACATGGCCTTTGAAGGCCCCAAACACTCCAGAGCCCGAATCCTCATCAGAGTTGAGGTTGAGAAAGCCGCCAGGAGTCGCAAGAAAAGAGGTTCCGAATTTCGAGCATTGATCCGTGTGCTAAGGTACTAACTGTAATTATATTGCCGACAGAGGCGGATAAAGGTTGAAACGCCTTAATAAGTCCCAGAAGAGACTTCAGGCTCAACCCCATTGATCGGGAGTTGAGGGTTTGCCCAAACCCTAAACCCTGCAAACCAAACCCTAAACCCTGCAAACTCTAAACCCTAACCTAAATCGGCTGAAGCCCCGTGCAGATCAGGCTGCGCATGATCGTTGAGAGAGTGTCGGCGAGCCTCACCTTTCCCGTAGCTGCTTACGAACAGGCCGGCGAGACGGTTTTGCCCTTTAAAAGCGCTTGCGACCCCAGAAAGCCGCACGGTTCAGTGCCGCATTGTTCATGCACAGCAAACTTATGCCTAGAGCTATGAGGGTTTGTGCTGGTCGAGCATAGGTCTGCATTTCAACTCATGGCCTCGGAATCCCAAGCCAAGCAGATGCAAGCCTTTGGCAGCCCCGAAGCTGCAAGCTTTTCACCAAAATTCCATCTGGCAAGGGACTTTTTGTGAAACGGCCAGTGGCCAAGAAGCGGAACCGAAGCCCCGACCTTCCATTCATGGCTTCAGGAGGGTTTCAGTGCTCGAACCGAGGCCCTAAAACCTGGGCCCTGCTTGGAGGTTTATAAGTATATAGGGTTATACATAGGGTAGCTGTACTTATTACTCATATTAGGGGACTTATAACCCCACTTATAACTACCCATCCAAGTAGTGTGAGTGTCAAAAGAACCTTCGCCCCGGAGGCCGTGGGATGGCGCGTGGCTGCCAACCGTCTCGCTGCTCTTCAGGTCGACTGGCTTGCACTCCCTGTCTGGGGTCTGATAAAAGGGGTGTGGGTGTGTACCTAGACCCCCCCAACTACCCTCTATTCTACCCCAAGTACGCACTATTGAGGACCACAAGGGCTCCGTTAAGCCAATTGGGGGGGTTCTGGTAGGGTGTTGGGTTTAGAGGGCTTTGGGTTTGGAATCTTGGTTCAGGGCCAACAGGATCTGCGTTTAGGGATGTCACGTTGCTTCCTTATCAATGGTCGCGGGTGTAGGGTCCGGTCTCCGGGCTGCTGGACAACGAGGCCTGCTGCAAAAGAAGGGTTTCCGGTCTGGCTAGACTTGAGCTCGGTTAAAAAGGGGGGGTCCCTGGCTCAGGGTTCCTGAGGCGTTATAGGGCATTTAAGGCGACTCATGGTCGTGGTCCTGATCGGTTTGGAGTACTGCTCGGTCGGGAGGGGCGTTTGACAAAAACTGAAGACCCTGACAGAAAGGGGGCTGATCACTCCGGGGTCTACATGACATGAACTCATAAACTTTCACACAAACTCTGCAAAGTACTGCGAAAGCCTGTGCTTGGACATCCTCAGGCCCAGGCTGTCTCAGTAGCCGCGCCGGCGCGAGCGTCGCCGCCACCTCCGCCAGGGGCTCCGGTAGTGTCAGCAGAGGCCTTCGAGCGGGTGAGAAATCAAGAGTTTCGGATTCAGGGGTTCAGGATTCAGGGCCTTTACACCTACAGCATTCCTTGACATATCATGGCTTCGAAGCACTTCTTTTATTTCGGGCGTTGAGTCCTTCGAGGATGGTGCATGATGTGTTAAAGTGGATGGTGCCGGACCGGAGTTTCGTGCGGGTCGGATTGCAGCTTTGCTCAAGCTAGCGCGGAGTTTGCATGGAAAGATGGTTTAAAAAAGCAGGATACATCCAGGGCCCATCAGACAGGGAGAGATCAACCGAGGGCCCTTTAGGCAGACTTTTCCTGAATTTTCTCTAACTTTTTGTGCCTGGAAGCAGGAGGTATCCGTTTGCCAATCCTTAGCATTAGCATCTCGTTTCGTCACGGCAGAAGAGAAGAGAAGCTTGCATGCCGTTGAAGCAAACAGTGCAAACATATCATCGTCCCACGAACTTCATAGTCCACGGGCCAGACAGTCGTTAAAGCTCCGCAGCGATAATATTGAAGCTCAGAAGAGGGGAGCCCCCATAATTCGAACAAGGCTGAAGGCATTAAGGGGTAGTGTACTGGAGATGTATATGGAGTGTATAGAGAGCCAGGGAACTCGCCTAAATTGCTGCGTCTATGCCGGTTCTATCCACTGCTTTCTGAGAGGACCTGTCGGTCATGACGCCCGAGGGCAGGCAAAGCGGGGTGAGGGCGGGGTTTACGGTTTAGGGTTTAAGGGCGCAGAGAGTTTATGCAGTGTCAATTTCTTGCATGTTGACTTGCGTAGTTGACCCTGTGTCATAAACAGTGTCATGGTGTCATGGCACTCCGAAGTAGAAGGACGATTGCATGCAGGCGAGTTATGTTCCTCAGTTCATCAGAAATAGCTGACGGATGCATTTCACGCACAGCTTGGAGACAGTGGCTCTTTTGGCTCTAGCTGCCCGTTTTGTTCCCACTCACTCGGTACTGTTTGCCCTTGTAGAAGCCATGGCACGCAAATCACATCGACGATGCGTCGCTCTGGCCCTGCTCGCAGCTTGCTTATGTTGCTACTCCCCATCAAGCCTTGGCTTCGCCAGCGATGATGCGAAGGATCAGCTGGAGAAGGCTGTGAAGGTGTGGAAGCAGCCCCATGCCATCCGCATCGCGGGCTCTAAGTTCGCCGTGGACACGATCTCCCAGGGAGCACCTCAGTGGCAGGTGAGGGCCACCGAGGCCAACGGCTCCACGGCGCTCTTTGCCGCACGCGAAGATGGAGGCAGCGTCGTCTATGGGGTGAACTACGACTCGGCGAAGAGTGGCTTGAAGCCTCCTTATGGATCACGCGTGGCACTGGCAGCCACTGGCGACGAGGAGGGCAGCGACTTCGACTGGACGGTTCAGGTGGAAAGGAGCAGCAGTGCTCCTCAGCGCATCGCCTTCTCCGGGAACAGCGAGGACATGGTCTACGATGCCACGGTTGCAGCGGAGAAGCCACTCGGTGGAGGAGTCACAGGTCTTGCGGCTGTAGACATGAAGAGGCGTGCAGGTGATGAGGGCTTCCTGCCTACCTGGATCAAGCCCAGCTTCGGTGCGAAGTATGCATCCGGTAATACGGAATACAGGGCGGCTGTGTTCCCAGACTTTCAGCAAGAGAATACTACCACCGTGGATTGGGAGGCAGTGATGAAGGGTCGCTTGGAGGGCTGGAGCTCGAAGCAGGGTGGAAAGATCCTCACAACGGATCCCCAGTACTCCCTGCGGCTGTCGAAGGATGGCTTGCAGGGTCTGGTCAAAGCACCCGCAAAGCTTGGAACAGCTTTCGGCCTTGCAGGCACCATCAACACAGAGGGACAGTACGACGTTGCAGGCTATGGCGAGTGGACAGGCGAGCGCAAAGTAGTCGACGGTGTCAAGGTTGATAGCAGCATCAAGGCATCCGCCTCGCGCGGCAGCGTGGATGTGCAGCCCCTGGGAACTGGTGTCACCTTAGACCTCGGAACCCTGGCGCCCAAGTTCGCTGCAAAGGGCTCGACCCTGGCCCTCCAAAGCCGTTACAAGTTCGGTGCATCTCGGCCGGCTGTGGCCGCCGCAATGGCGCTGTCCCCGGCGAAGGTTCCGGAGGTGGATGTTGTTGGTCTCGCCTCCTACGACTCCTCTGGGGATCTCACGAGCTCAGTGAAGGTGACTGCTAGCAAGCTCCGTGGCGTCGATGCAAAGTACGAGATGAGATCCTCGAACTCCAAGTTTCGACAGGCCATCGCGATGGCCTCTCCTCGTGTAGACTTCGGGGATGGCAGCTACCTGCGCCTCACCGGCAAGGCCTATAAGGGAGAGGAGTTCGGTGAGAAGCCTCGCGTGCAGCTGGGCGTCCAGTATGAGGGCAAGGTCGACATCCTGGGCAGGAGCTGTCAGAACACGTGGTATCTAGTTCTAATGAGTATGTATGAATGGTCTTTGAAGTGTTCCGTAACTCAGACTAAGCTGATCAGTTCATCCCTGATCACATCTTGAGTTGGTGCCTTTCCCTGGTTGCGTTGCTTCGTATCCGATGTTTGTGCTCGCCTTCAAGCTATTATTGTACTTTTGGCCATCTGTCCGAGTATTGGCCTAGGTCTTTGTTTGCTTCTGTGCACCCTGTGCATTTGGCGCCTGTCCCTCATACATCTTCTCTGTAGACCCGTTCTGTGAACGTCTTTCGCATGTGGCTGAGCAGGATTCTCTGTTCACCGTATTTTGACGGAGTTTCGATCTGTGATGATCGAAGCGCGAAGCCATTCGAAGCTACCTCAAGGCCCTCTATCAGCCCCAAAACTCTAAACCCCAAAGAAACTCGGTACCCTGAACCCTAAACCCCTAAACCCTTAAACCCTAAACCCCTACACCCTAAACCACTATAAACCAGTAAACCCTAAACCCCACACCGCAGGAGCCTGGATCTCGGAGGTGAGAGTGCCGGGTTCGACAGCGGCCGAAGCCTTCTCGATGAGACTTCGCATGAGCTAGTTTGGTTTAGGGTCTAAGGTTTGGGGTTTAAGGTTTAGGGTTTAGGGTCTAAGGTTTCGGGTTTAGGGTTTGAAGGGTCAGGGCTTGGGGTGTAGGGATTCAGGGTTTAGTGCATTGCAGCGCCTGATAAAACAAAAGGCCGCGGTTCATGCAGGATTGCCTGAAGTCTTGTAGTATGCTTCCGAGCTGATCGGCAGTGTCAGCATCCATTTTGGGTCTGGGATGGGTTAGGGCCTATTAGGGTTTGGGGTGTGGGATCTAGGCAGTGTTAACAAAATCATACAGTGTACAAATTTGTACGCCAAAATACCTGAGCAACATAACAGGGTTGAGAATTTGGGAGTCGTTGTCCCAGGTCAAGGGCCTATCGTATTCCAACCAGGTTCTTTCAGCTGTGATCTTTTGCTATCTTAAAGGTCGACCGGATTGATCCCGAGGTTACCTGAGCCCCGAAACCCCTTGTCGTATCATTTCCCCGGCTACGCCACGTAATCCAAACAACCCGTGCTACCCCCAAACGCCGACGCCCAAGAACACCGGAGAAGCAGGATCCGACAAGCATTCCTGAACGCTGGGAGCCGTCCTAGCATGTAA